TTTTCTATTTTTAGGGATTTCATCCTGTTGCGTATATACAAAGAACATATATATATAAATTTTACCTTCAGCACAAAAATATTTTATTATTTATTCATTTATTTATATAGCACGCTCTGTATGTTTCGACCTCAAATGGGTCGTCTCCAGGTGCTGCAAGTTTCTTACATACTATTACTGAACTAAAACGCCAACATCTCCATTCTTCTGAATGGGTCGTACAAATTAGCTTGTATTCACAATATAGATAATCTAGACAAAACTTAGACTAGACCTTGGTTAAAATTAACAATAAACTACAATAAAATGAGAATAAAAATCAACATAAAATCGTACATGTGATACATTCTTATACATAACAATAGGTTAAACCAAATTTAAAAATAAGGCTATCCTAAAGCCACAAATTGATATTTAAAATTATATAAAATTAATCTTTCAAAGTGTTATAAGCTGCGAAGAGATTTGTGTTTGTTACTGCAGTAGACCACGCACAGGCTTCGTCAGATTTCTTCTACTGTTTGCTGCATTGGCTCGCCGTGTGAATATCGTTATGTTACCATTTCCCTAAATAATAGATCCCGCTTCTTTCATGTTGTCGGGAGCCAGTGGTTAATATGTTCTGCCTACATTATGCTGTTCCTTGCGCTGCGTGGTTCCAACTACAGTAAGCTATTTCGTTTAAGCCACCTGGGTCGAAGTGGACGAAAAATTTGGTTATTTAAACGAAGTGTTCTCTCCCACACAAAAACCATTCCCAACAACACAACTGGATACACCACATCAGTAGAAGTAACAAAACTGCACATGAAGAAGAAACCTGGAAACAGCGCCATAAACAAAAATCCAATACGTGAAAGCTTACTAATATAAAGAACATGAGCAGCGAGGCTGCCATAGAAGGTCTGAAAGCACAAACCACTAAACAGCAATACAACACGAGGCTATCGAGGACCAAATATTAGGAATACCACATTTTCACCCCGAAACAACACATGGGCGACCAGTGGCACAAGCAACAACACTCATATAATACCCGCGCCCCCATAAAAGACAAAGTATCGAAAACACATCATATCCAGTATACAGGTGTCCCAGGTGTTTGGTGCCATACTTCAGGAGCGTACTGAGGGTTCCCTATAGAACAACTTTTAAATAGGGACCCATGTCCGCAAACGTAAAATAGCGGCGCTAGGGCGGCATTTAATATCACTTTGTTTAAACTTGGCGTCTCAATGTCGAAGAGCATGCGCAGGCATATTACCCCCTCCAAACTCTTAAGACTCACCTGCTAGAGTAGATGTTGGAATTGGCGCCCTCCATTTTCAATGCTTGCGTTACATCGACGAAAGAAACTTTGGCGCACCCTTTCAAATATTCCAGGTGTCTCACGGATCACGTCACATGCAACAAGTATTCTGGCCCAACAGCTCGAATTCATTATCCACAGGCGTGTCGTAGATCAGGCTTTTCACATGGCCAGACGAAATAGTCCAGAGGTGTCAAGTCTGGGGATCGGGGTGGCCAAGGCACTGGGCCTCCTCTTCCTATCCAACGACAATGAAAAGCAGCATCCAGGTAGTCTCGTGATACAATGCTGAAGTGTGCCGGCACTCCGTCATGCTGCATCCACATTTGCCTCCGCACATTAGTGGCACGTCTCCTAGCAAAGTCGGAAGGATACGTTCCAGCAACACCTTGTAAAAGGGCCCATTGAGTCGCGGTGGTAGGAGGAAAGGCCCAATCAAGTGATCGCCAATGATGCCCGCCCAGACATTGACAGAAAATTGCGCCTGCTGGTAACCAACTACAGTAACGTTGGGGTTTTCGTCAGCCCAAACGTGGCTGTTTCGACTGTTGAACTAGCCATCTCTTGTAAACTGCGCTTCGTCTGTGAATAACACGTGATTCAGGAAGTTGGCCTGATGTAAACACTGGTTCAGTATCCACTGATAAAATTGAACTCCTGGCACGGACATACGTCGTGTACTCGCGTTGTATGACACGGATAAAGCTGTTGGTCGTGCAGGATCCTCCAAACACTTGATTTTGATGTCCCGACAATCTTGGCAATGGCACGAGTTCAAGTGAATGGCTGTTCCTCTATGCAATGCTTNGCGACTGCATCCGTTCTGCGGTGGTATGACTCACGGCAAATTGCAGCCGCGGCGCGCACTTGATTGTACGCACTGTATTATAGGATAACTTTTAAGGAAATAACAAGAACTTTATTTTAAAGTTTCTTATTTAGATACACATTTCAATATATTTAAATATTATAATTCTACGTAAAAATGTGTACATGACAAGAATAGCAGTAATTGATCCATTGCGACACGCAGTCCAGTAACAAACGTATATGTATTTTACTGTTTATAAACCCCTGATGATGGCCGTTAATGACCGAAACATGTAGCATAATAAGCAACATCTTAATAAACTAACTGATTTTGTCTACATTTGTGCCTATCAGTTATTCACTGGACGTGTAGAATTGTTGTGATCGACGGACAAATTTACGTAGTAGAGACATACGAATGAAGATTACTAAGTAAATTGAGACAAAATTATTTTGTTTCTGGACATTGTCCGTCGTCCTGTTTTTGTTTAAAAGACACAGAGTTTCGAGACTGGTTCTGTCTGTCTCCGGAGATAAGGTCTAGCTCTGTTGATTGTCTTTCTATAGTTTTTAAGTCAAGGCTTTACAGTGATATTTCTTTCTTTATTTATTTTCATTAGAACCATTTATATCATTAAATCTTCAATGTATTTGTGTTCTAAGTTTTTCTCTTATCTTTTACGATCACCTTTTGCTCCACTATTCCGGATTAACGCTTAATCCGAATGACATCTCCCTCCCAATTAATCGGCATTATGGCGAGCGTTTACTGCCTGCCAACTAGTCGATCACATGACCTTTCCAAACGTATTTTTCTGGAAGTTTTGTTTACTTCCGAATAGAGAATTTTGCAGAATTACTTCTCTGTGTGCTGCTTACTGAGTTCATTCACTGTTTACCATTTATTTGATGCCATATAGGTTTAACAATAGCTTTTCTATTTATCTGGATATAGTTTTCTTATGGCTGGGTTATTTTTATGAAGAATTTAGTTTGTATTTAGTAACATAATCACCGTTACGAGTTAGTAGATCGGGTAAGCCATCTGGAACTTCGTATCGCTCTCCTTTAGCAGTAGCTACATCTCCATCACAACCAATTTCCATAGCACCGAAAAAATGTCTGGCTCCATTTGGTTGGGAAACTCTGGCACCCCGTAGACTGATAGCCCGTCTGTGCGCTCTCTACAAAGCATACACCAGGAGACCGGCTTGGGAAGCGATAGGAGGTAGCCTGCTTAAACCATGCTACCTGAGCAGGGACGATCATAGTTAGGAATAGGAAACAAAGAACAGATGTTGACAAATATTCCTTTGTAAATAGGATCATGTTCATGGAGTTAGGCCTAGGCCCACTGGGGCTGTAGTGCCAAGGGGGGGAAAAAATAGGATCATAAAGGATTGGAACAATTTACCTGCAGACATACTAGCATTTTCCCCTGTAAATTAAACACTTTTAGAAAGAGGGTTAGGAAAGCTGTTGCAAGTACAGAGGCCTTAGGCGAAGTTGAATGAAACACGTGAAGTAATGTGAAGTGTCCTTGTTCGAGTGCAGTGAAACGAACACAAGCACGTGCCCTTTTATAACTTTATATGTTTGGATTTGCACTATGTGTACCCTGCTTATTGTATGTACTTTGTTTTGTATTGTTCCCTTTATAAGTTATAGTCTTTCCTGGTCTGTATCAGTGTAAGATCTGCTGCCACCGGGTGAATACCCAATTGCAGTAAAATAATAATAATAACAATAACAATAACAATAATAATAATAATAATAATACTCTTGTTCTCTACTATTTTTCTTCTTTATTGCACCGTACTCTCTTCCTAATACGTATTTATGCGTTGAAATTTCTAATTCTTTTGTCCAAAATCTGGCTCCTCCAAACATTTATTCCTTCGCACCTCAGTGAGTGGATCAGATCGTTGTTTTGGGGCACATCCGCTGTCCAGTGTTTCCCCTGACTCCCTCCAATCTCCAAACTCCTATGCCCAGCAATACCATTCATCTCCTGTCTGCTCCTTCAATATAGAGACCGTAGGCCGGTGTCCTGTGCAGAAGAACGCGTACCGCGGCGCTGTTAATACGAGGAACTGCGAAGTCTACTACATCCTAATTTGCGATGTCTGTTCCCTCCCTCGTTCCATCCCCCGGGGTGCCCTTTTCTACAGCAAAGAAATGAAAAAGTAAGATCAATTTAGAGAGGAAGACCGAGGGAGCCCAATCACCGAAGGGTACGGAGGGGTGATTTTAGCGCGAATGAGATTCCACTTTTCCCTTTTAATGAAAGCGCTTCCAAGGAAGAGAACTGCGCATGTCTACGTTTTGGAGACTGTCGCACATCACGAATGTGTAATGAAGTTTGGTACGTCTAGTAAAGCTGTCCTTGTGGGTAATTAAGCACCACGACTTGAAGACACACGGAGGGGGAAGTTTTAGGCACTATATGTGGCTGAATTCTCCCCAGGGGAAACAGTACCCGGTGCTCGATGAATACAGAGGAACGTTCCCTCAGTCTTTTTGAAACCTGGATGAGAGGGAAGTAATTGCCTCTACAGGAGATAGAAAGCAGGCTTCTCGGTTTTTTAGCCAATATCCTAGGCACTGAACTCACTGAGCTATGCCGGCTGCTAGCATGATAATGAGTCCACAATTGGCACACAATCTGAAAGCTCACTGTAGCTCTGTATGCGGTGAAGTGAGATGAATGAATGTTGTGTTCAAGAGTAGAGGCAGCGGCACTGCGTGTTCGCCACATTCACACAGTGAACATAATGTCCTAATTGTCAGTGGGTACAGACAAATGTAGTAGGGATCCGATCGTCAGAGCCTCGTTTCGAGGAGATGAAAAGAGTATGATAATGTTTGTGCTCTGTTCCAGGATTGTTGTGCTGTGCGTGATGTTGGCTGTTGTGGAGTTCGACCGCTCCGTGAGGTGTGTAGTCCTCCTGTGGGAGCACATTCTAGGGTACCTCGCCATATTGAGCGGCTCCCTATTGGTCGAGCTCTTCATCTCCGTGGTTGCCATGCGCGGCAGCATCCTCGATACAGAGGCCAGGGCGTCCATGAAGTATCTTCTCTACGTGCGACTCGGTAGGTAATGTAGACTCATGCATTTAAATACAATGAGTTCTGGGAAGACTAATCGCCTACTTTCCTTTCACTACATGTTGAGTATTTGATACGACACGGATCGCATGGAAAATGCCGCGTCCAACAGTTCTTTCATTGTTGAGTATGTATTCATTGTCGCGGGAACGTGTTTACCGGTCTGTTGCCTAATAACAAATACACAGACAGCAACATGATTTCATAAGCTTCTTTTTATTTTCTCGAAATAAGGAAAGTAAGCTACCAGAGCGGAGCCTGAATATCTCTGTCGGTATATAGGCTACGGCTTAGGGCCCCCATACACACACAGTTTGGCCTCCACTTCGGCCTGCACAGTTGAAGACTGAAAGGCAAAACTGACGTGTGTGGTGCGGCCGGCCGGCCAATCATTTGGACTGTTGGCCTGTGTGGGAAACCCGTCAGTCCGTCAGTTCTGCCTGCAGGACCGTAGCACGTGACGTGTGTGACTCAACATTATAGGCTGGAAGACCGTGACTGGGACATGAAGCCTGCCGCTTTATCTGCGCGTGTATGGGGAGGAAAGGGAGGGGGCAAACTGTCACAGTTTTGCCTGTAAGGTCGATCGGAAGGCCAAACTGTGTGTGTATGGGGGGCCTTAGACGGCCGAATCTAGGGTCCACCTGGCCTTCTATGTAATGGGTACTGAGGTCAAATCGGCTGGAAGCTTGAAGCTGACTGCTTACCTCCATCTAATGCTGAGGTTAGTAGCTATACCTCTACATCTCCATAAGTCTTCATGTTGCGATTCTTGGGTGATTAACCGCAGGTGTAATATTTTCTTTGCCGTAATAAAAACGTTATATTTGATGTCACAGAACGTGTTGGAAGTGACCTTCATTGTTCTCAATACACACACGTTGCGAATGTGCACCCTGATGTGAAGTAAAATGTTTTCTGTTATGGAGGATCGCCCAGCACCTGAACGTAGTGTATTATTGTGCATTGCTTTGTATCGTAGTCGTATCGTAAGAACGAAAATATTTCGGAGAAAGATTTAAAGGGGTTTACCATTCATTCTGACTGATATGTTGCATGCTTTGCATTGTCCGAAGTACTTTTTCAAACCATAACGTCGCGGAAACTGATTCTGTTTCTTTTATTAGGTGACAAGATGAAGTAAGAAATCATCTCAGACCATGCAGCTCCTTACTCTATCTTCTCATCTGAAGAAAGAAGTGTAACCAGTTTCCAAAATGTTGTGGCTCGCAATTATTGTGACGAAAAGCAATATCAGCCTCTGTTTACAGTCAGAAGCCATGGAACCCAACTATAAGATTTGACGTTTGAACTGCGAGGATTTTTCATATCGTGGTCTTCTGAGCTGTGTCTTAGCGTAGTCTGGCAGGTGGTTGTATACGTTTTCCGAACAACACTCTCTCCGTCTTCAGAATGGAAGAATAACCTGGATATGGAGGCAGCAAGTTCCTCCGAAAGTTTTTCACCTATGTATCAAAATACACAGCGACACATCTCAGAAGGCCATAATCTTGGCACTCATCGCCACCGGAAGCTCATCTCTCTCAAGTATGTATCCTCGTCTTCATGTCCATACAGCTTCCCTCACATTTGTCTCTGTCAGCAAATATCAGCGCCCAAACAAGTATATCGAATTTAATGAAACACTGATTTTGTTTGCGGGGCCTTTGAAGGTCTGTTTTAATATTTAATTTAATAACGGATGTAAATTGCAATAATGTTCTCAGTAGACCAACCGTATTACTATGGAATCAGTTGTAACATTTCGGAAACTGTTTCGCCTGCCATAATTACTGAATGATATTGTCACGTGTCCAGGGTTCCGTGACTAATAATAACTTGTTCTGGATTAGGCGATTTCATTTATTGACACTTCTTTACAATTATTCGTAATTACAATCAACTACAACAGTTCACAACCAATGATTGCCTAAGACTCGCTTCATTCCTTGTTGGACTACGAGTGTCTTCCACTGTGACTGACGTGGTTCTGATTTACGAGTCGGTCACTTCTTCAGCTTCCGTTGTCCGCTGGTTAACTCTCCACAGTTGAACACTGAACTATTGAACTGCCTTCTGAATTATCTTAGGACTGACTGACTAAAGCCGAACGACGACTCACTTACGACTGAACTCTCGAATCGAATCGAGTCGAGTCTTATGTTATGACCGGCGGTCAGTCGGCCAGTCTATCTTGTAATAAAGCACCCATCTGGTCTTTACGACCATATTTTTATTACTGTCAGACAGTTGCGGGTTTTTGATGTGGGTAGTTCTTTCTGACGAGAGGACGGATCTGTCGTTTACAATTGCTGCTGTCCCTGGCCAGCGTAGTCATTCTTGGGTCCGAGTCCCGTGGGACTCGTAACCATATTTTAGTATATTTAGGATGTTACAGTAGGAGTTGGCATTTACGGATGAACATTTTCCCGACGATGAAGCTGTAGAAAGGAAGTTACCGCCTGGTTCCGACAGCAGCCCAAAGAATTTTATGCTGCTGTTTTTCAGGGGCTTGTGAAACGCTGGGACAAATGCCTCAGTGTACAGGGAGATTATGTTGAGAAATAAAAGCATTTTTCAAATCAGTACTCTTATTTGTTTAAGTTCTGTATCCACTTGTAACTTACATATTGACTGACCCACGTAGAAGTCTGGAAAGAACAAAAATATGGTAATGGATCTAAACGGGCCCCAAAACCAAGAACGACTGTGCTGACGAGGACCAGCAACAGTTTACTGGACTGCACATAAAGACTATGACCGTAAGAGTTCAGTTGCAAAAAAAGAACTCTGGTCGTGATTCTCAAGAGGCTTGGCGCCAAGAAGAACAGACTGACGCAACTCTGACTTAGTCTTTAAAGGTTTAACGTATGATTTTCCGGCAGGGGGCTCCCTGCTTCCCGCTATGGCTCTAAGGGCATGACAGTTCCCGCTTTCACATACCGCTCGATGTTGAAAACAAGAAGACGCCTCTGCATTGCCATCCAGAGGGTGCACTGCACGTTGTACAAGGCATTACCAAACAGGGTGGTCTAGCAATAATCATCTGGCTTTGTATTCGGGAGGTTCTCACGTTGAATCTCGACGGAGCTACTGGCTACTCTGACTCCGGTTTTTCGTGATTATCCTCTGTCCCTCTATGCAAATTTCTTTGTGTGCCTCAGTTAGGTCACGACCACCTTCTAAATTTTTCCCAGTTAATCGTTCCTCTGTTGTCCTATCATTCGTTGCTGCGTAGTATCCAGTATTGAAAACATCATAAAATGGCCCACTAAAAGAAAGTAATACAGAATATTCTTGAAGTCTCGACACACAAGGAAGCGAATTGTGTTTGTGAATTTGTTGTCTCCTTCCACAGAACACTCATGTCGCTTACCGGGAACACAATAATTGTATTAATATGCCATTGTCACAAACTCTTAGACTTTACTTACGTAACCACTATGGACCTGGCATATATTCGAAGTTTAGGAAATCCGAACGTGTTAAGATACCTGAAAACGGAGGCAGAATAATCTCCGAAACGTTTTGTGTTTTAAATAAGAAAAAACAGAACGACGGATAATGTCCAGAAACACAATAAGTACGTATTAGTATGCCATCGTCACAAACTTTCAGGCATTATTTGCACATGTTTGTTCAGTGAGATAGCCTCTCTTCGTAAATTTAAAATATAATTGGCCATCGAAAAATAATTCCAAGGGGGGACGTGTGAGCTGTGGTGTTTACTGCATAGCAACTGTATTACCAGCGTTTGACCGCCCACTGTACGTTTCATTTCCTTTTCCTGCTTCTCCAGACTTCATGGTCACTCTGTATTTAGTACTGTCAACCCTGGAAGTAAAATAAGAAGTAAAGTTCCCCTATGTTTACTTGTGCATCTCACCTTGAAAGTGTATGGGGAAATGGAGGTATGAATCTACGTGATTCTCTGAAGATCTGTGACAATGACCGAGTCCAGTATTCTATTTGACGTTGCCCATTGTCTGGGATAAGACGTTTCGGAAAATGGATTCTTGTCCATCAGAAGGCGAAACGGGGAGGGAGGTACCTACTCCATTGAGTCCCTGGCACAACAGGTCCAGTTTCCGAAACTATATGCAAGTTGAGTGCAGTGTGCAACATGATATTCTTAACCTCGGCACTGGATGGAGGTGAGTGGTCAGCTTTACGTCCCGGCCGCTTTACCCTCTGAGTAAGAGCTCCCGGTACACATTGGATAGGAGGTTTGGTGGGCCCCAGTGCTGGCCGTTGCGGAGAAGAGGAAGATGTCTTGTCCTTTCGCAATTCGGACCCCAATGCCTGAGATGCTTAGCCCATAACCTAGTCAGTCTGGTGGCTCAAGTGTCCCTATTCAAAACCATTACCACCGTTTAAGTTGATAAGTGAGATAAGATCCAGAAAGCAATGACTGAAGAGTATGTATTCTGATGGATCTCTACCGACGTTTAGGAGGAACTTACTGCCACCAACTTCAGCGCCAAAATGTTTGCCGAGTAAGTGACAACAAACACATACCGAGGGAGATGTTCCTTCCGTGTGCTTGTTGCTTGCCCAACTTACTCTCTAACCCTGAAGATGAAGACACTGCTTTTCTCCGAAACGTTGGTACAGTTCTACGACAGCTGCGTGGCGCCACATCCCAGAAGGTGGTAGTCTTATAAAGCGAGATGTAAGATGCATTCAGGCCTAATGAGTGACCCGATGCTGATCGAATTCAAGAATCGCCAATTACTGACTCCTGTGGACCAGAGGCGTACGTGTTGCAGCGGGTGGGGAGGTTGGGATGCTCGACTGCACCCCAGCCCTTAGCATGAGGAGGCCCAGTGTGTCTTCAGGCAGTCCCAATATGAATGTAAATGTTAATTTTGTAACTCATTTCTTATTTCTGCTTAGTGTCTGTAGATTTGTGTTGTGCTTGCGGTGGAGTTCCAAAAGAGCCTCATTAGATTCGCCACGCATCTCTGTATAATCCTATGTCGGTCTGTAGGTATGACCATCGGGAACCGTTAAAGATTTTTTTTTATGAAATGTTACATTATCTCGTTTCGAACATTCCAGTTACGATTAAAATTAGACGTAAATAATGGACATTTACCATGAAGACGTACATGGCTTTCTGGATTCATCTCGAGGGTGAGTCATTAGTCTTTTACTGGAACGAAGAATATTTCGATCAGATGTTCAAGTACATTTTTTTCCATGAGTCATAATATTAATGTTTTCTTTGCCGCAGGAATTATGTTGGTGGAGATTGTGTGGCTCGTGCTGGGAGTCACGTGGCTGACCTACCACTATCGGGACTGTCCCGTTGAGGGCGCCAAAGAAGCAGTTCTGGGTAAGGGGCAACATAATCTCAGAGGAGAAACATGTGGCATAGTGTGTCTTAGTGGAATTTATCAGGGCAGTCGATATGAAAACGATCATCTTCTAGGATTTCACACCATCTAGTCTGATATGATACATCGTTTTAAATGTTTCGGAAAAAGCTGCTTCCTCCATCTTCAGTGTTGAAAAATAAGGCGTACGTTCTTTCTCCACTGACAGTCTGCTTTTCTTCCCTGAAAATGGAGCAAGCAGTGTTTTATCTGAGGTCGCGGTACACATATTGTGAATCTGGACCTCTGTCAGGCTATTATTTCGGTGGCATTTGGAAATTAGTTGAAAATGTTAAGGTGCGATTATTGAGGGAAAACCTTTGTCAGTATGCACTGCTGTTGACCTTGTCACAGGTAAACACTCATTTCAGACTGTACTTTTAGATGGTCACAGAAGTGTATTTCCAGCTACCAGTGACCTGGGAAGAATAATATGACGATGATACAATGACTCCTTAAGACAGGGAAACCGAAAATACTCTGGTATGCTACGTTACAAGAGATTTCTCTATCGAATAAACCTTTAAAAAAAGTATGAGGAAGGGGACATACTCGTACATAGAATAAATCCAGTTCAGACTCTCACACTGCCAGTCGGCTTCAGTGTGTTGATTAGTTCGAACTTCTGCTACAGTCTCTCTGGAGCTTCAGTAAGATTTGTTAACCTGTACCACTTCTACACCCAGTAAAATGTACATCAGTTTTGTACAACTGAAGATTGTTCTTGGACCGTGTCACTCTTAAACAGTGCCTTAACCGGCAGCTCCACAGACACTTGCAACATCTGCTTGGAGGCAGCTCTTCCACGCCAAGGGTCAAGGGCCCAATGAGCTTCTGGTCAGCAGGTCCCTCCGAAACGTCGACAACAGTATGACAGACTTCACAGCGTCGGATTCCTGAAGCCAGTTATCTAAACTATTGGCAACTCGTGGCCCTCTGGACAAATGGAGGCAGGGTCAGTTAAATGTACACCTTCCAAATCAAAATGTAAATTCATTCAATAAAGTACTTACTTCAACAGTAGGTGCATTTCCATGGACGTTTTGAACAAGGAGGTTGTGCTTCGTCCCACCTCCCACCCACGCTACATTAAGTCAAACACATTGTCGTTCTTGGTATAATAAAATCCTTCATCCTTTGAGTTTGGGGGGAGGCTTGGAGCCCCTTTACCCCAACTCAATGCATACAGACGAATGGACATACTGTAGGGATGCATATTCTCATAACCCTGAGCCAGCCTGCATACATTTTGTACACCTCGCTTCCACAGAAGTAATCTATATGGCATGAACACTTCAAAATTGACCTTAAATTCTCTTCTGTGCTGCTTTGCATGTAAGTCTGTCTGTTCAGAGCCAGCACTGAAACTGTAGCTGCTGTAAATATTAACCTTCTTTTTGGGGTAGATGGACAAATTTGTCCTGTCGCATTACTGTAGGACTATGCCTAGAGCTTTTTGTAAGACCTCTGATACAGTCTGAGGGGATTTTCTTTTTATTAAGATTGTAACACCATCTGCATATTCTGCTGTACAATAATCATTGTCATTAAGCTACCACAGAAGTTTGTCCTCAATCAGGATCTACAGCAGAAGTGAAAGCACACCTGCCTGCAGGCATCCTCTAGCTGTGGACACCCTCAAGGTTTCTCCTGACAAGGCAGTTATTATGTTCCTGCTTTCCAGCATGGAGCATATCCACCTACAAATGTTGAGCTTGATTCCGTGCCTTCCAGCAGCTTGTGTTATTACGTTAAATGTCGTTCTGTCATAAGCTCCCTGTGTATCAAGGAATGATCCTAGGGCTATTTCCTTGTATTGAGTAGCACTTTTTCTGCATGTTACCACATTGTGAATTGCAGTTTAGGTGGATTTACCAGTTTGGTAGCCATATTCGTTTTGATGCACTAGATACTCCTTCACTACACCGTCCCTATTATATTTATCCATTAACATCTCCATTGTCTTCAGAAGGAAAGATGACAGGCTGATAGGACAAGGAGTCTTAACCTCAGTATACTAACATTTGCCAGGCTTCGGTATAAACGTCACTCTAACCTGTCTCCAAGCCATAGGTATACTCATATGTCCCATAAATATGGGGCACAGGTGTGGGTCTTGATGTTCCATCACTTGCTGCAAAAGTCCTGGTACAATCTCATCTGTTCCCGCTGATTTGAATGGCTTAAAGGTGCTTAACACCCATTTATACTTAGGTTGATTGATTTAATTTCTGGTCAGGTTCCAGTCTCCTTGTTCCTTCTGTGTCTGCATGCGACCAGGTTTTGCTGGCGGTCTCCGTCGTATGAATCATCAATCAGTGTTGGTTCAGAAACAAATGAACTCTGAATAGCTCTTTCAGAATCTCCCTTCCAGTTTGAGTGCCCTGCCTATCAGGTAGCTTCATAGTGCTGACCCTGTTTGTTGCCCATTTCACCATTCTCTCCATGAATCCGACACTGCCTGGTACATCAGTGATTTCCTGGAAGTATCCCCTCAGTGATGACCATTGAGCTTTCCTAATCCTTTGTTGTAACAGGAGAGGGCTTCCTTATCAATGTTCCAGTGACCTGCTCTTTAGCTACTCTAGATAGCCTTCATGCTTTGGCGCTCAGTTACTTTGCTTCGTGAGCGAGTAGCCTTGTATGGATAATTATTATGATAGGACGAGGTGATGGCCTGCTATAACCGGTCAGCAGCCAGATCTGTGTCTCTTATCATGCGTATACTTCGCGATATGACCTCAAGATTTACCCTTAGATCATCTTTATATGATTCCCAGTTGGTTCTCATGGGATCCCTAAAAGTAACTCTAATTGTAGCTATGTTACCTGTCTGAAATTATATGTATGTATGTAAGTAAGTATGAAGGTATGTACTTGTGGTCTGACAAAGACGGCTCATCAGGTACATGCCAGTTACTTCGCAGGTTACCTATTTTATTGTTTCCTAATGTCAAGTCAATAACCTTCATGCTGCAAACTGCATAAGTAGGCTCATTAACTTGATTAAGAATATTGAGGTTTGAACTTATCAGATATTTCCTGAAGCTTTCTCCTCTGGAATTAGTGCCAATGCTCGCCCATGATATGAGCTGTGCATTGACATCACACCCAGTGGTGAGTTACTTTTCCTACTGAAGGAGTAGTCGATGACATCCTTCAATTATTTAGTTGGCGGTGGTTCGTCTGATTCATATGTAAGGTACACTGAGGTTGTGATGAGCTTCTCACAGCTCTCTGACATGTTTAAGTCATCCTCACCCTTGTTATGTCCCTAGAACACAGCTCCAACAAAAGCATGTCATTGATATGGTTGCTGACATGTTTTCATAAGTTTCCATAAGCAGTTGGTATGGAGGGATACTTATTGCGAATGTGAAGAACTGCTTTTAGGCTGTGTACCAGTGAATCAATGAAAAGTCACCACTTATTGGTTTTTTGATCTTGTCTTAATGGAGCAATAATCTTATCATTATCTGTAGAGTAAACCAGATCAACAGCTGAAGCAAAATACTGAGCAATATCGTTTTGCTGATCAAAACATTTGTGTATCCTTCTGCAGCAGCCTTGTAATCTAAATCCAAAGAATTCAGCTTGACAGATATCTTAAAGCCCTTACTAAGTCATTGAGCTCACCTTGGGAGATAAGATGTGGCTCATTTGATGAAAAGTGCTGAAAGTCTGGATTAATGAGATCCTGTTCCATAGGGCCTGGCTTGTCATGTTGCCATCATAAGTGGTCCATCTGTTGGGTGGTTTAGGAACTGGCATATGGTGATTGAGAAGCAGTGGTCTGACAGCAGACGGAAATGATGGGTATTGTATATACTATCACAAAGTCAATAGAAATTAAAAAAAAATGTATATACTATGTTCACATATCAAGGCAATTCTGGATCTTAATTAAACAGATTTAACAGTCTGTCAGATTATCTTTTTGTTCTCGCCAGACATATGGAACAGCTGATGCCGTAGACTTCCAAGAACCTTTCATCAGTCCTCTGAAATACACTGCACAGTTGGGAAATACAATGTGAGGAGCCAAATGTTTATGCTGATCACATATTTTGCACCTAAAATAGAGCTCATAGGTAAAGGTAAAGTTGTCCTTATGCTTAACTAATTATGCACTACACCAGGGGTCTCCAAACTTTTCGAACCATGGGCCACATTAGGTAATTCAGCACTTTCAATGGGCCGGATAAAATGAGAAATTAATAACTCTAGGTATATGAGTTTTATTGAAAGCACCGAATTTCATAAACTAAATACAAAGTACATGAGAATAAATTATCGTATATTAATGACAACAGACAGTAGCAGCAAATGCTCATATGTATTTTCATGAATGATGGAACTCTTTTTGCATTCTTAAAATCTGATTAAATTGAGGTTCAAATTTTGAAACCCTTATCACAAGTAGCGACTTTAAATGTTCATTGGATAAATTTGTCCTGTATGCTATCCCAGTTTATAAGCCTGTGAAAACCTGCAGACCATGTTAGAGGATGCACTGTTTCCTGACAGTTACAATCACCATCTGGCCACTGGCCAATATTTTCAGTGACAGCTTAAGTTGTCATTCGGCCTTTCAATTTAACTGTTCTTAGGGAAAGGTTCATATCCATAAATATTACTAGGAAATGCTTTTTACTGTACTGAAGTGTACTGAAAGTTATTATTCTTGACTGAGGAGTTAATTTCTGCAATTGGTGAGTATTTGTTGAAAACGATGATTGCTTGGGAATCCTTCATTTCAGAATTACTGATTACTGATATTACTCAATTACTATTTGGTATTTTATCAGCTCATCTTCTTAATATATTCCAAACTCTCTAGGTTCTGGACTCATACTTAACTGTGTTCCAGTTCTCCAGATATAGCTTTTTCAGGGACCCAACAGAAAGCATCACTTCCACCAGATCTTCTATTGTTACATGACATAGCTATTGGCTTGGACCCAAGAGAACACATCATTCCTGTGTTGATGTGGGTAATGTGGTATCAGTTTCATTGTAGCAGCACTGTCTGCCTGGCCCCAGAGTGCCTGGCTAGACAACTTCCTGCAGCTCACCTGTTGTTGCATGACATCACCACTCTTGTGGAGATGGTGTCTTTACCAAACTACTGCCTAGCACTGGCCAGCTCCCTGTCTCCTCTCTTTCGCTCTTCAAGTGTCATGTCACGATACATTACTTACTTACTTACTTACTTATGGAGCTGAGCCCTTCTTGAGGAGAAGTCAATTCTGCTGCTACTCAAGAATTTCCCAGCATTTTATGGAACCCAAAGGTTCATTACCATGTTCACAAGAGCCCTCCATTGGTCCCTATCATGAGATAGATCAATCTAATCCATACCATCCCATCCTATCTCTCTAAGATCCATTTTAATATTGTCCACCCACCTATGCCTTGGTCTTCCCAGTGGTCTCTTTCCATCTGGCTTTCCCACCAATATCCTATATGCATTCCTTGTATCCCCCATTCGTGCTATATGCCCTGCCCACCTCATCCTCCTTGATACAATTAATATGTTGCTGGATATTATCCATCATCTTGTCTGTTCTTAAAAAACCATCTAGTTTCTATTAAAAACACAACGTTTCAGGTTTTACCTGAAGACGGGGACAGATTCCAGTTCCCAAAACGTGTTTTTAATAGAAACTAGACGGTTTTTTAAGAACAGACAAGATGATGGATAATGTCCAGCAACATATTAATTGTAACAATTTACCATCATCACAAACTTTTAGATCTTATTTTCTTCCTCCTTGACTTGATCATTCTAATTTTAGGAAACAAAACTTGTGTGTATCAGTCTGGCAAAACACTGAATATGTTTTAGTCTTGTAGAGGGGAGAGGATGATAAGTACAAAAGTTATGGAGGAACCTACTGCCTCCATCTTCACGCTAGGCGAGTTATAACCTTTTAATTTTTTTAAGTTCCAAAATTTACGGCATTAAGATGAGATACAGATATTGAATTTGAACAAATGGATGACCAAAATAATCAATTTATTTTTGAGCTCTTAGTGTTTGAAAGTTCTATCCCTAAATGTGTTGAAGTCCCTATATTAATTCTGATGTTTCGGTCATTCTGACACTTCCTATGATGTTGGATCTGAAGTGGCTGTGCTGTGCCTGCCAGTTATGCTGGCTCTGACACGTGAATTCTGTGTTGAACTAAGGGAAGTTCCTGGAAAGTTGAGCTTCAAAAGAGTCATATTTAAAACATGTCATAAAGGCTTGGAGTTTAGAACATGACAAAGTTCAGGAGATACTATATTTTTGTAATCTTGTTTGTGCCAGTTGCAGAGTTTTTATATGGCTGTTGTTGTTATTGGAGAAATGATATGAGCTGATGGATGTGTGTAGTTTCTGTCATTTGAATTTCTTTTAGCACATAAATAATTACACTTCAGGTTCTGTTAACTGTGTAATGTTTGTCAGTGGATTTTAAAAATTAATGAACTTCCAAAGGCTGAGAATTTATGGTTTTGGCATTGTTTCCTTGAAGGAATTTTGGGTTTTTCTATCTAGCTCTTGGTTATTTTATTACATATTTATCCCTTCATATTATCAGCATCAGCATGTACAGGGAATATTTTTAGTAACTAGACATGCTCATGGCTCTGTTCTTCACTGCTACTGGTGCATCGCCAGCTGCGAAGGGCACACAGTTTCTGCCAATGACTCAGCATGCTTGACGGCTGATAACGTTTGGAATGAAGGAAAATAATTAACTTGTAGACGTCTACACAGTATTATGTTACACAGAGGGTAGTGCAGTTCATTTATGGGAGTTTGTTTATGATTTGTGAGTAGTAGGCAGTAGTTACCAGCGCCATGACCCCTTTGTCCCAGTTACCAGTTAGTTAGCAGTGTGGCACGACATGGTTCACTATGCTTATAGAAACGCGTATTTCTGTATGATGCCTATGTGAAATATAGATCTGCTGGAAAGTGTTGGTGAAAATTTTGACGCAAATTTTGTGATGAAAGAGTTCCCAACAGACAAATAATTCATAATTTGGTGAATAAACTTAGAACAATGGCACTCTTAATAGACAAGGAAACAAAACATAAGCATCGAGGCCTTACTGAGGAGAAGTTAAATGACATAGGGGCCAGACTTGAACACACACCTAGAAAATCACTGAAATGTGTAGCTCAAGAGGCTGGAGTGTCAAAGTCTAGTGCAAGAATAGCAACATCATTGTTGAAGGTTTGACCATATAAAACAACAGTAATCAACACCTTGCAGCTGAGCAATCCAGCTAGCAGGGTTCATTTTTGCAGTTGGTTTCTACAGTCTCTTGTCAAAGGTGAGATTAATCTGCAATTGGCCTTCTTTTCTGATAAAGCATGATTTCACTTTCAGGGATACATAAATACACAAAATAATCACTACTGGAGTTCACAGAATCCACATCTAACCCATGAAGACCTGCTCCATCCACTGAAAGTTGGTGTCTGGTGTGCTTTAAGTGCAAGAAGTGCAAACCTGTGTCATTTTAATGAAACAATTATTGAGAAAGATATGTACAGGTTGTTTTCAGGCAGTTCTTTCCAGAGTTAACAGAAGAAAAGATACTCTATGGCTGGTTTCAGCAAGACTCGGCCACTGCCCACACTGCAAATTTATCTGTGCAGGCTTTGTCCAATGTCTTTGGGGACAGAATTAACGGTAGTGATATCAGGCCAGCACGTTCACTCTATCTTACTCCTTGTGATTTTTTCTTTTGGAGTTGTTTGAATAACAAAGTTTATAACAGTAATCTCCTAACAGAAGCAGAACTGGAAGAAAACATTCATAGGGAAATTTCAAATATTCCTGCAGAGCATCTTCAGAAGGTAAATTGAAGCCTTTTCTGCCTGTGCGAGAAGTGTTTGTGGCAGTGAATGGTCAGGTTTTGCATTACTAGTACTTCTTGAGAATTTTCTTCTTTGCTGCACACACACATCTGCACTAGCACTGGAGATCATTCACCATCTTATCAACTATGTACAATGGATTTTTTCCTCCATACCTGAGGTGGTTGAAGCTTGAATCTTGCCTCCATCTAACACAGAGTTTAAGAATGCTTTACTTGAATGTCCTGCAGACAGGCTGGGTTCGCCATATGCATGCTAGTAAAGGAACCTGCTGTGGTGTCATGCCCCCAGCACCCCTCTCTTGTGACATTCACTGCAGGTTCAGCCACCGGCTTGGGCAGATTTTCTGAACATACACACTGCTGAAAGAGACTTTTTCCTTCTTCTATGGGGTGTCAGTACCGTAGTCTGGACCTACCCTAATCACAGTTCACTGTCGAAAGTGTGCCATACTGCTAATAACAGAAAACATGAAAATATCTCTTGTATTACTTTATTTGTGACGAAGTTATAAGTATTCTGTCAAGGAGCTGTATGGCAAATTGGAAACATGTAAATCATTCAAGATAAATTGTATAACTGACTGGGAGTACACAAAAATTTGTTACTGCATTGTGGCAGGAACTTCTGAAATCTGCTACAGATGCAGATTCACTGGTACAAGGTTGGTTATGTCTTCACATGCGGATATGTATTTTGATTTTGTAAAGTGGTGTAGCTACTGTAAAACACTCTGCACAGAGCTGTATATGTTGCTGTGCAGGAATTGTGATATGCAACTGGTGTGTGATGCTGAGTATCCTCATTACTGTCTGGTGCACATTTGATGCAGCTGGGCGATCATGGGTGAAGATGAAGAAATACCAGCGCAGCATGCGAGAGGCTGAATCCAAGTTCCAATATAAGAGATCAGGCACTAGGCACCGCAACTGGAGGCAGAGGTAGGTCACTTAAGGTTTCAGGCAGACAGTATTGCAATTGGAGTTTAAACTTGTGACTAAGTATTATAAGTATTCTAAGTATTCATATGCTAGAGATAGGAACTGACAGTAAACATGATGCTTCAAACTTTATACTTGAACTGGAATTAAATTTCACTGAATTTAGTGAACACTTGTACTGCTCACATATCATTTGTTCATGATGTTGAGGTAACTCAACCTTTCTCATTCTGAACATGAAGAACACACACATATTATTGTATCCATGGTGCAGAACTTTTCTCTTCTTTTGAGGTCAGGCAAGTTGTGATACTCTCCTCAATTTACATTGTTTGTCACTTATTTCAGAAAGGTGATTCGAGCTTATCAGGACAGTTGGGACCACAGATGTCGGTTACTGTTCTGCTGTATAAGAAATTCTGACAGAAATAGAGTGAGTACAAAGTGGCAAATATATACATGTATTTCAGTCTGAAGACAGCTGTCTTCAGGAATATAATATTATCACGTGATTGACTATAAATGGGGTTTGGAATGGTAATGGGATTTAAACAAAAATCATTATTGAATTGCTGTACTGTACCACTGAAAGAAATTGCACTGAGAGAGATGACTCAGGAGTTGTAGCACAGTATCTTAATAATATAATGATAGTTGAAATACCAGAATGATAATTCTCAGGATTACAGGTAATGCATGTTTCAAAATAAATCATGATAATGCTTTCACATTAATATCTCTAATTTTAATGTGTCCACAGAATTCGTTTACAGACATAGCACGACTCCTCTCTGACTTCTTTCGGGACCTGGATGTTGTTCCATCAGATGTAGTAGCTGGATTAGTCCTGCTGCGCAAATTCCAGAAGATTGAAAGGGAAGCCATAGTCAAGCAGGTGAGCAGTAGATTTTGAAAGGTTTCTGACACTTTTTCAAACCGCCATATTGCTCTAGTTCTTAATTCAAAATATTTCAATGTTATTGCACATTTCATCATGCACGCTAAAATACGTTTGTTTGAGGACATAACTCTTTAACTTTTCCTGTGATATTTTCCTCTTGTGTCTTCCATGTTTTTGTGTTGTTTTATTTAGCCCATGAACATCAGTGTGGAGGTGTTATCGTTATTTTTGTGTGTCCTCTTAGTGTGTATGTTCCCATTAAGCAAATGTATGTCACTCTTGTTGCTTTTTGTGCCCCTTTAATATGTATTTTCCTACAAGTCAGGTCACTAAGGGAGCACATAAAAATAACAATAATAACAACAACACACTGGTATGCATGGACTTAATAAAACAACACAAAAACACAGGCGCCGCAAGAGGAAAATAGCATGGGAAAGGATAAAGAGATGTGTCCTCAAACAAATATATTTTAGTGTGAATGATAAAATGTGCAATAACATTGAACTATTTTGAATTAAGAACTAGAGCAATGTGGTGGTTTCAAAAAGTGAACATTTCCCTGAGGATGGCCAAATAAGGCCAAAATATGTAGCAGTTGAGTATGATTTTAATGTTGTTTTAGATTAAAGAGAGACTGTGAACAGAGTTACATTAAAGATGGGAGTAAATATGTAGAGTAGAATCATCCCTTCATTTCACACTGTAACGTTCTTTTCATCATCATCATCATCATCATCACTGGCACGACAGCCCTCTGTGTACCCTGGCCTTCCTCATGATTGCTTGCCATTCTTCTCTATTCGATGCTACATTCCTCCAGTTCTTTACACCTAGTAACGTTCTTTTACCTTTCGTAATGTTGTAGGAATATGCACTTAGATCACCATTCTCCTCCTTTACTAAGTTAGGTCTAGCTTGGTAACCCTTAAATTTATTCATTTCTTTATAGTGGTCTCTAATTCTGTTATTTTTACTGTGCATTGCAAGTTCATTAATTCTATCCTTCAAATATTCCCTCTCTCTGTTCCTCTCTCTTACTCATCTTGCATTGTTCAGATTATCCCCATTTGTTTGTCTTGAATCTTTTAACCACTGCAGTTTAGCTTGTTTCCTGTTATACAAGAATTTTGACTATGCTTCATCGAACCATGGCTTATGCTGCTTCAAGTCATAATAACCTAGACTCTCTTTGGCATAATTTTTATTTTCTCTCTAATAGTTTCCAAAGTTGTACCCTATGTTTGACACCAGTTGTCACATGTTAGTGACTAGAAACAGGGTTTGGATTGATAATTGGATGTAATAAACGTCTACATCTTGTAACTGTAAATAATTACAAGAATTTTTTGAACTAACTGATTTCCTGTTTTCCTTTCAATGGAATTTGAATATTTGACACAAGCAGAAAGAAAACTTCAATATGTATGCATAATGAAGTAAAAAGTACACTGTTGTAAGAGGTTGTAGTATTGGTATTACTGACCAGTGATTTATGACAATGCCATTCAGATGACCTGGGATGGTATGCTCATTTTTGTCCAAGCACATTAGATATTTAATTTTGAAATGCACAGTGGCAGAGTTGAGTTGGGCAACACAGCACATCTTTTACTGGCTAGTTACTTTATCAATGGCCGCATCTCAAATGTCAAGAGATATGAACCATACTATACTTTCTCTATACCCAGTCAGTTACTTGTGTGGATAATGTCTTTCACTTCAGCAACCAAAGAATTGTTTCTTGAAGCTGAAGGTTGGCTCAACCTTTCTTTGTCACATCCACTGTTCATCTGTTGAATTTCTTTTGCATTGGAAATATTTATGCCATTCATTGAACATTGTTTTACTGCAAGTCTCGTTGCCATAAGCTTCACACAATCTTTTGTGGATTTCTGCAGCTGTTTCTTCCTGTTTTCCACAAAATTTCCTTCAAGTTCTTTCCTCCTGTATGGATGCCATATCATAGGGCAGCAAGACCAAAACCACACAGTCATGCTTGTAACACTTCAAAACATCAGCCAAGCTGTTTTGAAGAAATTGCTGTGTGTAGGTTATAGCTATGACTATCAGTCATTCTGTTCATGTCCACATGTGCATAATTGGTGGAGTTCCACATGGTCATTCTGGAAATTTCTGAACCAACCTTATATGTGGGTCACCTAACAGCCATGTCTTTCTGTCTGTCTCTGCATTCCCAAAGTTTCTTACACTCAGTTCTCTTCCCCCCACCCATCCTTCTATGTGAAATTTTTCCTAATCTGTTGTATCTACCTGGGTCTTTATTTTTATTTTGTTCATTTTCCATTCACTTTCATGTTAAAAACCTGCTATGGGTTTGTCTCTTCATTCATTCTAAAATATTCCAATATTGTCATATTCTCTTATTTACTAGTATTTCTGTCCCAACAAATTTATTCTTAAACTCTTTGTAATATTTTCATTTCTTGTCCTCTCCGTCATGGTTTCCCCTCTACTTTTTAAAACTCTTATCTCAGCTGCTGCTAGTCTTCTAATATCTGTCTTTGGTCAATGTCCATATGTTGAAATTGGGATATAGTGATGTTTAACTAAACACATTTTTTCTGTTCTTTGATATTTTCCATTTCCAAAGTCTGTATCTATAACTAAATGATAAAATGTTGCTGCATTTTTTAAATCTTTCTGCAGTATCTTCATGCACTGTTGTGTCACTGTGTTACTTCCAAAGTATATAAAACAAATGTTATCTTTTCATTGTCGTCTCTGGAGCATTTCCATAACCACGTGCTTATGTGTATTGACATATCCAACATCTTCACACTTTTTAACAACCTTATGAAATTTCACCTTCTAAAGTTCTTCCATTTACTTCCTATAATATTTTCATCTGTGCAAGCCATAAATTGTAGTGTTCCATTGTACTTTCCTTCTGCCGTTCTTATTATTATCGTATCCATGACTATACTGAACAACAGTATGGATGAAACATTTCCCCAGCTCACACCTCTGAATGTTTGAAACCATTCAGATTTTTCACCATCTATGACCACACCACTGTTGTGACATTTGTCATAAATGTTCTTTATTCTTGCAAATATTAATAGAATATTATGTGGCTATTGTAACCATGGACTTTTATCTTGTATATTGTAATGACTGATGATCAGTTTAGTAGCTTTGATTTATTTGCCTTTGAATGCATTTTCATTATTGTAGTGAAAAATTGTTTGTGAGAGAAATGGTAAATTTCATAGATAAGGAGGATGGAAATATCAATAAATGAATTGTTCACTGTGATCAGTCATGTTATAGTGACAACCCAAAGAAGCCCACTCTGTATATCTTCTCTTACAATTAGTACACTCATATTATATTTAAGCATCCTTATATATTTTTCATGCACAGTATATTCAGTCCTCGATGAAACTATTTTCACTTTTATTTCACCTCCTTACGACATGTTTCAGCCTCAGACAGCCATCATCAGGTGTTTTGTTTATGCCAAAACTGTTGCGCTATATAAAATGTTCACTTATTTACACACCTGCAAACGTGATGTTTCTTGTTTAATTTACTTGACATTTATTTGCACTGATTAATTTCACTTAATTTCTAGTTTAATTTTGGTTTGGAATTTCTCAAAATTTCTTAAAATTATATAATTGTTGCACCTCTATTAGGGCCGTCTTCCACTTGTCCAAATTAAATAGTTCTATGTTGCGGCTTGGTGTTCGTGTGTTGCTTGTGTTCATAAGCCCTTTCTTTGTGTTATCTTCTGTAATATGTAAACATTCACATTACTACCTTTTGATTTACTCTCTACGGTGTTATGTTATGTTGTTCGCTGCCCCTGTGTATGATGATGATATTAACTCTTGTGTGTGGATATTTAAATGTGTAGTGTGCTGTCTTCCATGGTTATGTACTATTAGGCAGTGGGGGGGGAGGTTGGGAGAGGGATGCACTGTTATTCGGTGTAATATAGGGTTGTGTGTATTAATATGTGTGTCCTTCATATGCAGATTTTTCCTACTGATTTCATAAATGTGATACTTTTGTTCCAGTATATACAAATATTTTCCCTTCTTCCCTTTTGTTATAATTTCTGTGTTATTTGCTATCGTTCCATATGCATGTCCAGTATTCATTATGTGGTTTGAGTATCCAGAGTTACTGATGTTAGTTTAATGTTGTGAATATGTTCTTTATATCTGATATCGAATGTTCTGCCTGATTGTCCAATCTATTTTAGTGAACAATCCATGCACTCTACTTGTATTTGATAGATGCCACTTATATTGTATTTATCTGTTTGTGTCTGAGGCTACTTTTATATGCGAGTCTCAGGAAAGTACACTGAAGTGTACATTTTCTGCACTAGATATGAGTAGCCAGTAGTCCAGACATAAATGATCTGAGCCCACATCAGATGAAGAATTTGTTGAACATATTAAAAACTAAAAACTATCAGAGTGGTGAGGACCGAAATTTATCCAGATTATGATGTTTTCAGAATAAGTTCTGGAAAAGGAATGTCCCTCAAATCAATTCATACACAAAATGGCAAAAGAGCTAATTTATCTTGTAATATTTGATATTTTCACGGCGGTGACTTTGAAGAAAGCAGTCTTCTGGGATGTGGCACTGTGTAGATGTGGTGTTAACCGACGTTCCGGAGGAACGTATGGCCTCCATCTTCAGGGTAGAAGGAAAAATAATAAATCTGCAAGCGAAGAGACCGTGAGAACCGGTACAAGTAGACTGTACCAGTTCTCACGGTGTCTTCACTTGCGGATTTCTTATTTTTCCTTCTACCCTGAAGATGGAGGCGATACGTTACTCCGAAACGTCGGTTAACACCACATCTACACAGTGTCACAATCCCAGAAGATTTCTTTCTTCTAATTTATCTTGGTTGGTTGCAGCAAATGTAACCGTGACAGCCTGAGAAAAAACTCATTTTTGTGCTCTTCTTAATTGTATGAAAACTTTTTCTTATTAAGGCATGAGTTACTTTTAGAGGCTCAGCTGAGCTATAAGATATTTGTATTCTGCTTTTAGAGTTTTGTATCTTGTCAAAATTATCACATCAGGAATGACAGAAAAATGTGCGATGCTCAGCCTGCAGAGAAACAAACGGATGATTGGTGTTTTTGTCTTTCTTTGATAAAGAAATAAGACAAAGTAAAAATGTAGAGAGCAGTGTCTTAAACAATCAGAATAATGACAAATGCAAGGAACATTGTCATTCATGAGCACTGGAGACTAAAGTAAATGCAATGTTCATGAAGGAAAACAGAAAACAAAAACACAATTGTTCACATCATTATATTTCCATTTTATTAGAAGTGGAGTTTAATTTATCAGCCATATTGCTGAATCAGTAGTGCTCTATGCTAGTGTTTGGGAAGTACCTGGTTTGAATCTGGTTACTTGTTACCATGACTGAGAAATTTCATGGTTTCTGTCTCTCTTCCTAGGTGAATGCTCCTTATGGTTGGTTAGTTATTTACTTGTTTGGTTAGTGTAGTAATCTTAAACAATTAACTTATTCACATTTCATTTGTTATGTCAGAATTCCTGGAGTTGAAATAATTTTTTTAAACAACCTAAGAACTAGATCACCATATTTAATTGTAGTGAGTTCAAAAACGATGTTACACACATTCAGGGTTCAGAAAATGACGTGGAGCGAGATGTGTAGTATTATCACAAGCGGTGGGTCCTTGTCTCCTATGCAGTTTACAGGTTACTGATACTTTTTGTTTGTTCCAGCATAAGTATGACACATATGAGTACTTGTCGGGAGTTGCAGTGACATCACAGACCCAGTTCCTGGCTCTGAATGATCCAGAACATTTTGAGCACTTTCAGACTGTGATCCATTACATGCACTTTGCTCTGGGAGCATATGGCTGGCCCATGTTCCTCATGACACACAGTGGCTCTGGAGTTTGTCAGCTGTGCACTAGGCTCAGGTAAAATCACCATCAGGTGTTCTATTTATGCCTTTTAGTTCCTCATCTGCAAATTTAGAAGCCATGAAACCGCATGTAAATAGCCCAGAAGGTGAAGCTGCATGGTGAAGATTAAGGAGTCGCATCTACTTAGGTAATTTTTTTGATGTTAGCATACCCATGAGTTGTGCATGTTATTAATAGGCCCTATGTAATGGGTTTAATTGGGGATGTGAAATAATAACGCTTCTGCTTTCATTTAGGAGGTGCCTTGCTCAGATCTTAGCTTGGACACGGACTATTCTGACGCTTGGATGGTACCTCAAATTACATCATGAACACTTCCTTTCACACCCTTTACAGTTATGCACTAATTATCATACCATTTGATTCTGTATATCCTGAGCTACAGGCAGCATTCTTAAATGCTCCATAAATAAATTATGAAATGCATGGAAGTGTATGAACACCAAACTAAGTGTTGGTATAAAGTTTGAAGGTTGTTACTTTTGACATTGAAAGTATTATTATATGAAGGTGCAAATAGAATGAAGCTATGAGGAACAGAAAATATAACAGTTTGTCCATAAGTAACAGAAATTGTAACAAATTGTAATTATTGATACCTTCGCTACTAAGTAACCGATTTTCTGTTGTTGATTTTGTTATTTTGGAAATATGCTGAGCAAAGCACGTAGGTGGATCTGGACATATTGTGAGTGAAATACAGTGATATGCGAGCTTCTCAAAAATGCAACCTGTTTTGGTCCATCACTTACGTTTTAGGAGTTATGACCATTTGTTTGTAACAAATACAGCTAATTTGATTCCAGTATTTAGTGGATGATACAATACTATAGGCAAACTGCCAGCATATTATGTCATGCACTGATGAGATGTCTGCTGGTAACAGTTGTGCTGCATATATGAGAGAGTATACAGGAGAAGGAAGCGGTTAGAAGAAGATAATTGTAATAAAGCACCCCAACAAACAAAGTTAAATGCTGAATGACAGCGTGAATATAGAGAAACACATAAACACTTGCCTGCTGAATTGTAACACTCTATAGATTACTGTAACTAGCACACAAAATAAAGTCTTCAATGTCTGCTTGCTAGTCATTGCTCAGTAACGAATCTTACCTGGTTAACACTTCACAGCTCAATATTCAACTACTGAACTGCCTTCTGAATTCTATTACGAATGAATGAATTGAATTTACGAAATGAACTCCCTTTTATAAGCTCAGGAGGACTGAATAGAAGATATTGGTCTCCTGCATCTGTTGTAGCAGAAACACCTGGTGATCCCAAGATTCCTCATATCCATGGAGACCTTTGCTGATGCTTTGTTGACATGAGAATGAGTTTTAGCAAGCCATTGCCTAGCGAACAGACTTCTGCTGCTTCATTGCTATTCCGACTTTCAGACAGTGTTTACCAAAATGTTGCCTAGCAAACGATGGTTGGAACATTTTATACAGACCCCNCCCCAGTACAAACACTACAACATTATCCAACATTTTTAAATGTGGATAACATGCCTGAACTTATTTATGAATTAGATGAAATCAACCAAAGTTTTCAATGTTAATCCTGGAAACCAAGGTTCCCCTATCATTTTTGTGACTCACGTCCTTATACACAGAAAGTAATGTCCCTATACTTTCATTGGAACATATTCATGATCTCCTTGTCAGATACAATGTCCAATCTGTACTTACAGTTAGATCCAGTATCCCATTTAAACATAGTGCTATATTCACCCATGTAATTCTCCCATCACTTGTACCAGCTGCAGCCAGGACACATCATAGCAGGCAGTAATGAATTTCATAGAGAATTTCACTACTCAATATTCTGCACCTTCAACAAACCTTCATGCCAAAATACAGATATGACACAACTTACTCTTCACTCCACATCCAGGATACATTACTTCCACCAAACCATCAACTACATACTTGCTCACCATGTTTTATCCACAGTATACAGGATTTTTCACCAGCATAGCATAATGCACTCTGTATAGTCCCATAAATAATATAAAATGTTAAACTATCAACAGATACCCCATTACTTCTGTCACAACAATGTAGTGTACACAGTTAACAAGCCCTGTGTTATACAGAGTGAGCCAAAAGTCCCTGTATGTTCAGACAGATCCTGTACATTAATATAAATACACTTCTACACTGCACTACTTAAGTTAACAAAAAAATGCTGGAACTGGCCCCCACCTGCATGTGGACACACATCTTCACATCTGATCTTGTTTACAAAGACACAGGACAGTTCAATCGGAGCGATATACTTGATGAAATTTGCCATGGCTTCCTTTCAAATTCTTTTGAATTAATTATTGATTAATCATCCCACCATTTCCTTTTATATTTTCTGGATACTGAGAACTTTGTTAAAATCCACAGAAGGAGAGAGCCCTATTTCTACCATCAGTAGTCTTCATCCTGGGGATGGAGGTTGCTGACCATTCCAGCACACAATTAAAATGCACAGTAACTTCAAATAGCTGTTTATTCATGGTTAATGGGTTCGTTATTACAGTTGCAGATTTTTGAGGAAGCAGTGAGTAAGTGGTTGCTCACACAATGGAGAGCAATCACGTGTTATGCGACATTCAGCATTAGATAGCTGCATTGAATTTTCCACTTTGATACAGAAAGCTTGGTCAGCAGTATCAAATCCCAGACTGATAGGAGTGTAATTTGCAAGACGTATTGTCAGTTCCCTCAAATGGATCCATCTGGATGTCTTTGCAGGCTCACAATTTTGCTCTGTACAAAGTACTCAGGATATTTTAGCCATGAAGGAATGCAGTAGGCAGACAGTGCATGATATCAGGTCTTGTGATTTGCACTCTTCTGATATTATTATGGTGCTTTAAATGTGGTTTTGATGACTTGGAAGTGTTCCGTGGGTGGATGAAGGAAGAAATAGATAGATAATTTTGTTGGAAGGCCAAGAGAGATGTGGAAAGGATTCAAATAGATTAGAAGAGCAGGTTCTGGCCATGAGAATTGGAGAGAACTGCCAGTCGTAAGCTTTCCATTTATCAGAACTGAACATTCAGGTTCTGCCCTGAAGAGTTAGTTGTGCTGAAAGAGTTATAATTTTCAGTGGTTCCGCTGACGAAATCTAAGAATTTTCCAGAAAATGTGAATATGTTAATGTTTGTTTGTCAAGTGACCAGTGACTTCAAATTATGGTCTTGTGGGATTTGGCTCCATATAGTTTGGTAAATGTGTACCTGTCTACCAAACTGCACACTGCCATATCCCAGAAGAGCATATTCTTAATGCTTACCTCTGTGAGAACCACAGATCTTGATAACTGTGTCACTGCCTACAGATGTATGTGTTTCCCTTGTTTGGGTGCCCATGATGGTGCGACAATTGTGTCTGATAACTGCTGCCATTGTAACTATGCGGCCCTGCGCCGGATGGTGGAGATTGGTGAAGTGGAGGTGATCTATGCAACATACCATGTGGATGTGGGCGAGACGCCATTTTTTGTAGCTGTCGATTTCACACGGCGAAAAATTGTTATCAGCATCAGAGGCACATTGTCCATGAAGGTTGGCTTCTGTACCATGTTTGTGCTGTTAATTATGTACTGTAGCCAAGAAACAATGATCTTATGATTTTCTATAGAGAGTATATAGACTTTTTAACCAATTTTGCCCTGGCTTAAATCTGAATTTTGTTTCGGTGATTCAGAAAAACATCTCTCTTTCTTCAGAGCCTTATTGATGAACTCTGCATGTCTGCCTGTCTCATTATTCCATTAGAAATGATCACTGTTGTAACACTGTGTAGTTAACATCAGGCCCAAGCCTAAGACAAAGATGACACTGGAGGCCACACATGTAACTCTAATCCACAGTGCTAACATGGGAGCTGTGTGCTGTTAAGGTGGCAGCAAAACTGATATTATTTATTGAAGTTTGCTATGTTATCTGTTAGAAAAAATTTGTTGCCTGTTTTAAAATAATGTTTTAGGAAACTAGGAAGTTTTGTGTTTCCTTGTGTAGTTGCACACCAGTTTTTAAATATAACATTACAGATCCTGTATGTTTCTTGTAGTGTGTTCTTAACTAAATAAATAGTTAAAAAAAAGAACCTAGAAACAGGACATGATGATGTATTACTTTGATGGGGCTGTCACATACCTCAGGGGGCGGTGATACATGAATGTTGAGAAATGGCAGCATGATGATTGGCAAGGAAATCTGAAGAAACTAAAAAAAAAAAACACCTGCTCCAGGGCCCTTTTTTTCTGCAAGGAATCTCATGTGAAGTAACCTGGGATTGAACCTCAGACATTAAAAGAGATCCCACATCTAACCACCTGAGCTGATGCATGCTCCCTAAAGTAACTAAATAAATAAATGAGTTACCCTCATGTACCAGAGCTCAGAAACTTGGCATCATCACCGCAAAGGCTTGTTCAGCTCAGCTGAGCTCCCATCCACACAGCTTCTCTCCTGAGTTGGGACAATGTAATTGATGTGGAGTCAGGAAGGCATTTATCCATTTCACCTGTTCTGCATGCCACAATGTTTGAAACAGACATTTTTACAATTTTATCCTCAGCAATGGAGTGATAGAAATGATATATACATATTTAATTGTGCTCAGGTAGCCATGCAGCTTCATGGACCCTTAAAAGACCTTGAGGGTGACATTTAGCTTCCCTTGGAATATCAACATGCAGACTATTCAGGGCAAAGTAACACTCCCCTGGGCCCCTGATCACAGTAGGATATAGGAGAGTGAGGATGCAGATGCCCTCTTAAGTCCTGATTTTGCTGTTCCATTTCACCATGTGTTAGTAGGCTGAGGCTTAAAGTATGGCTGAAGATCAGGCACACACCCAACACTGGGCTACCTCACCAGTAGATGCAGTTGTAGTTCTTCATTGGAGGGCCTTCAAATAACCTTTTTAGGGACTTTTCGGCCTTCGACAGGAAACAGTGTAAGCTGATAACTGGCTTCCTGATAGGCCGCTGTACACTAAGGTGACACCTAAATACGAGTATTATGGGCCTCACAGAAAGTGCCATATGCAGGAAATGGCAACAGTAGGAAGAATTCTCCTACCGTATGACTTTGCAGTGCCCAGCCCCAGCTGTACATAATGAAAAATTTTCAGCTCTGGATGGTGAGACCAGATATATATGAGTAAGGCTCTGCTTCTAGCTTTGCGTTAGTGCCCTTTGAAGGGCCATAACAAGATTAGGGATGCACAGTGAACCTAGTAACAGCCTGAATGCATGGGGCAACTAAGTTAGTTGTTCCTCCTAAGCCAGTGTCAGTAATAGTACCAGGGTACAGCCTAATGTCATCCTGCCAATTCTTTCATGGCTTTCCAACCAGACATTTTTGGGTGGTATACCCACCCAAATTTGTTTGTGCATTCCTTGTTACCCTATACTAGCTAAGTGTCCAGTGCATGATAGCCTTCATAACAATACCGCGTTGCCTGTGTAATCAACAAAGTTGCCTGTTATGTGAATTGCTCGTTGAGATCTGGGCACTTTGTTTTCACACACTTGTAATTTATGTTCTTCTCCAGGAGTTAAAAACTTACTTGCATGAGGCAAATGGATTAATAACCTGGTAAGTATGAGAGAGAGTCAGTAAATAGGTCACAAATGGAAGTAAAACAGCTGTAATGGATGTAACAAGTTTTCTGTGTATATCACTATGTAGCAGCACAATCCAGCTTCATGAAGACTAGGTAGCAGATGGGCATATGCATGTTGAGAGGCTGGTTTAAGTAGTCAAAATGGCGACCGTGCTTGAGGAGTTCACTACTGGATAACAGCATTCTGTTTTGTGTTTTTCTTTGTGGACAAAAGAACTCAATGCAAAGGATATTCATAAAAAAAAATATTTTTTTTTGTTTATGGTGGGAAGTGTTTGTTGCATAAAGCAGTTCCTAGCTGGGTCGAGAAATTCTCTCAAGGACTTTAGAAAGTCACAGATGATGCCCATCCATGTGTGGAAGTGGCTGAGACAATAGTAAAATGACTTCTATGCTGTTGGTTTTGATGCACTGGTAAAGCAATGGGAGAAGTATATCAATATTTGTGGAGAATATGTTGAGAAATAAATGTTTTTTTAAGGTTAAAATATCACATATTTTGTGTTTTGTATCCATTTGTGTTCTATTTGCTGACTCCCTGGCAAAAATATGCAGTAATTTCTTCACCTTATTTTCCCCTTTTAGTTCTTCCATATTTCTTGGAATTTTTGTTTTTTGTTTTGTCATTGTTTTAAGAAGTTTTTATTGGGCTTACTTCCGGTTTTTAAGAAAGTGTCCTTGAGTTTCCAAAGAGAATACCTGATGTTGAGCCATGTAAAAGTACATTTGCAATTGCCTCATATTCCTTAGAGATGCTTGAATATACTGTAAGACCAACGGACAGAAACATTTTTGAGATTATTTTAATGATGGGAGAAATTCATGAACTTCGTCTGACTGACATAACACAGGCAAAGCAAGGATCAAGACAGAAGTAGACTCAGGGGTAGAAGTCATTAATGAAAAGTTTTCTCATACCATCATCTCTGGAGCAACTGCTGACTGTCCTGTATTTGGCACTGATACTAGGCTGACTGGTACTGAACCGAGAACATCCAGTGACTCAAAAAATAAAGACTTTAACCATCTCATTTCAGTTCATTCACTTGAGGAGGTTATGCAAGGCATCCTCAGTGAGTGTGTGACACAGGGCGATGTGCCATGGGATGAAACTTGAGGACTTAACTGAAATCTGTTTTGTCGCAGGAAAATGGATTTGCATTTCTCAGCAAGGTATTGGTGACAGTAGCAACCCTCCCAACTTCTGTAATATCCTGTGAAAGAGGATTTAGTGGGATGAACCTTATATAGAGTAAGCTTAGGTCATTGTTTTATAATGATAGCTTAAGCAATCTGCTAATCTGCTGATGATAAAACTAAATGGTACATCATGTGATATACTCTAACAAAAACATGTGTCAGTACTTTTTCAGCAAAACTGTATGCCACATAAAGTGTCACAGATGTCATTTATATTGAGACTGCTTTGTGCAGGAGGAGTTAGTATGAAGCTTGGTTTGTAGCAATTGCAGAACAAAGGAGATTTACATACATTTCTAGTAAGAGTTTATATATATATATATGCCTCACATATTGGATGAACATATCACCTCCATCTTCAGGGTTTAATACTAAGCCAAGCCGGAATCCAGCAGAAGCAGGTGGCAAGCTCATCTTGGTTTACTCTTCAACACTGAAGTTGCAGTGATATGTTCCTCTGAAAGTTCGTCTCTCGCTGAACTATGCGATGTTAAACCCACAAGGCCATACTCTTCAGAATAGTAACGGTTTTTGAATGCAATTAATAACATACATTTCTGGAATTTACTTGTGTGGTTTTGTCATGAAACTCATTTTTGTTTATTGGTGCTGATCTGAGAAATTTAAAGTGTGAAACTTTCATGCAAATAAATTGCAGGTGGAGAAGCCACAGTGCAAGAATCAAACTGCCATAAGACTCAACATGGCTACTGTTGATAAATCCTGAAAGACTACTTGTTAATACTTGATTTCGCTGATCTGTAAGGCTCAAGTAACAATGGATCCACCATTTGTTCTTCCTTGTTACAACGTTTACTCTCCCTTGATATTCAAACTGAATGATCTTGCATCACTGCAGTGTCAAATCCTTTGTTCCCATTAAACTTTAAATAGAGGTTTCATTTTGTATATAAATTATGTTTTGTGTTCACAGGATGTGATTACTGACCTGAATGCAGAAGGAGAGACATTGCCTTTGAACCCACCAAAAGAAGACTGGTTAGGTCACAAGGTAGCCACAAGACTCAATGCATGTTGTATAATAGCTAAGGACTTGCATGATCCTTCTGCTGAGGATTCTCTGACCTTCCTTGGTCCCACCCACCTAATACCATAACATTACCTCAAAGCAGACTGCTGCTGCTTCATCCCATGCACCTTGTCATCATCCTTTGGTTTCCCATTCCGCTGCAGTTATTGCTGATTGAGTCTACAGCCGTTCTATAATGGCATGCAGTTGGAACCTAAGCTCCTTTTTATGCACTTCAAAGATTCAGTATCATTACAGATGCCTGTATTTTGACACTTGGAGTTTAATTCAGTTTACATCTTCATAATGTATCTCTCTGACATCCATTATAATGGTACTCTATTTTGAACCAATGCCCTTCAAGTGCTCTCTCTTCTTGCTTTAATCATCATATGAATATTAGTCTAAAAACACCTCATTATGCAATTTATTCAGTCTCCCTGTCTCATAATTTTTCTGTATGCAAGTGCTGCTTTGGTCCTTAGTTTCTTTCCTTTCTTCAGTCTGAGAGACTACATTTCATATGTGTGTGAGGCAGTAGGTCAAGTTACAGATCTTTTGGTCTAGATGTAAGCCATCAGATGTCTGTACCAGCCAGATTTAGCACAAATTTGGCTGTGTCTGTCTTAGGGGCTGTTCTTCTGGCTTCCACCTAACAAAGCATTTAGTCTGAAAGGGGATCCTTGCAATGGTGGAAACAATTCCAAGGAGAGAATAATAATCCCTCTGTTAGCCTGCAATGCTGACATGACTAACAAACTCCCACCTTTACTTATGGATAAGCATGAAAACCCTCGTTACATTACAAAAGTCAAAAAGTTGCCCACAAAATATGTATCCAGCAGAAAGCACAGGTTACACAGGCTGTGTTTACTGGCTATTAAGGGACAGTGGATGTCAAAATGTGTTCCCAAAATAGAAAGATTTTACTTTTTTGTTAAAGATGTGCTGCTCATCCCCAAAGCACATATTTCCTAAAGAATGTGAAAGTTGTGTTTTTCCCCCACAAACTGCACCAGCATTCTCCAACCACTTGACCAAGGAATAAACAGGTTGTTCTAACATTGTTACTGCAAGCAACTTGTAAGGAAAATTGTATTTGTGACTGATCACAAGTTGCTTCATGATATAACACTCTTGAAGTTAAATGTTATGGAAGCACAACATTTCATTTTAAAATCATGGCACTATGTTATACATATGATGGTAGTGAACTGTATTCAGAAATGTGAATTCAATTTAAATTGGACCAGTGATGCTTGAGATGCAACAGAACTTAGTGTAGCTGAAGATGACTGGGGCTGCGTGAAAGCTGGTGTACCAGTTCAAGAACATGTATCTTGTGGTAATGATGTTATAAGATGTGAGGTGCAAACAATAGAAAAGTTTATGTCTGATGTGTCTGAGGAGGGGGAGGAGGAAGATGGTGGTAGATAAATAATTTTCAGTTGCCATGATTTTACTTTTATGTTAATTAGTCCTTTCAGAAATGTAAAATCCAGGTTTCACTGCACCAATCTTCCATCCTAGTTTAAAGCCCACATTAAGCCATAGGTCCATCAGTCGACATCTTAAAAGTATATTCTGAAATCTTAAATTTAAAAGTAAACTTAGAATACCATAAATATATGTTTTTGTCCTGTAATCAGAATGGAGGGCAAGATTGTGCTATCAAGACAGTGGTGGGAACAACAATAAGAAAACAAAATTGAATTCAGGAAGAATGCAAAAGCATATTAAATTCTGGAAGTGCTTGTTGCCATTCAGTTGAGAATCTTCTGCCTTCCTCTCTGTCATCTTCTGCAGATACGAGTATTTGTTTAACAAACCACTGCATAGCAATGGATGTCTTAGCGACATATCTCTGATTCCAATATCTTTACTTTTAGCCAACATCTCACAATGTTGTCACATGACAGCTAAAAGCCATAATAATGGGACAAAATGAAGTGGCTTTGTGAGGCAGTGGTGTGGTAAACACGTTTCTTCAACAATGAATAAACACGTAACAATCTACAAACTGTTGGAAGTGATGTTTTCTGTGCAGTCAGTGCCTAGGCTATATAATGAGGACCAATGGGAAAAGTTAGTTGGAGGTCAGAGTTGTCAGTTGCAGTCATGAGTTGCAAATCAGCAATGGTGGGTTGTGGTTGGCCATGAGGAATCTCCAGTGTTGGCAGCTACTGGTTAGCAGTGACTAGTGGCAACAGAAAACCAGAAGACTTGGTGCGTGCTGTAGTTGTAGTGATTTACATAATATGTAAATTTGTGAGACTGTTATAATAATTAGTAGTTACAAGTTACAAGCCTCCAGTAAATGTAGTTATCAATCCAGACCCCGTGCCTAATCACTAACATGTGACAATATTTTCTGCTTTTCTATAGCAATTCTTACATGAAACAATACATGACAGAAAGCATGAGGGTCTGTAACACATGGCGCAGTTCATGTAGTTTCAATACTTCTCAACAGGGAGCAACTGTAAAGATATTTTTTAAGATGCTGCGCACAGCTACCTATACATGTACACCTGTTGTAGCGGCAGGGTACAGAGCAGTGCCTCTGGGTACCAGGAACTGGCTAAAGGGGTTACCGAAACAAACGCTTTGCTTAGAATTTGTTTCAGTGTGCAGTGAGGGAGACTAGCTCTTTCTGATGGACTGAGCTGGGGGTACCTTTCCTCCCTTATACCTGATGATGGGAACAGAAATATTTTCCAAGCAAAATTTTAGCTTTAGAAAACTCAAAATGATGGTTTGTGTCCAAAATAATAGTCGTATTTGCCATGGACCACATGCTGTTGTTCTCTTATGTAATGAATTAGGTGTCTATAATTTTGCAGTCCCATTGAACTAACCATAAGAAAATGAAGAGCAGAAGAGTTCTGTCTTCTGGCATATAATGCTTCATACTTTTTCAGAGGAACATGTTGCCTCCATCTTTGGGATGAAGAATAAGCCAAGCAAGAAACCTGCATTAAGTAGGTAGCAAGCAGACATGTCCCTGAAATATATCAGTTTACCTCCAGCAGACCACACAGTATTATATCCCAGATGATATAATCTTTATAACCGCTGCTGTGAGAACCTCAGAGCCAAGAACTGTCTGCATAACCATAAGTAACATCTAATGGTTATGATACTTCTCCGTTCACCATTACATGGTACACCTGTTTCTACAGATGAGGCTTGCATAGTACACGTAAGCCTGGACCATCTGTAGGGGAAGAATAACACACACTACCTAATTTAATGGTGAATTTACACATTGCATCAGTTTTGGGGAAATGCCACTATCATATTTTAGATTTCTTACTTTGAATAATTTATTTTTGATTCTCAGTTGAGCAAATGGATGCATCTAATGGTAACAGATGGATCAACAATCCTAGCGGTCAGCCATAATCAATTTCACATTTTAAAACTGCATTCATTTGAGTTCCATTAAATTGTATTTTGAAAGAGAATGATGCCAACTGTAGGGGATGGTTCAGGCAGCAGAATACATCCGGGACAAACTGGAAGAAGAGGCAATACTTGCACGAGCATTCAGCCATAGTGAAGAGCGGGGGACACAGGACTATGGTCTGGTTCTGGTGGGACACTCACTTGGTGCTGGTACAGCTTCCATTCTTGCCATCCTCCTGCGCCAGGACTACCCCACACTGCAATGCTTTGCATACTCACCCCCAGGAGGATCTCTGAGGTAAGGGAAAGCTTTGAATTGTTGATATTAACTGACTTATGAAGCGGAGTCCTTCTTGAGAAACCAAGAATTTCACATCTACTTCCTTTACCATATTCACATAGACCTGTCACTGTCACCATCATGATGCAGATAAATCCAGACCACAGCCTGTCATCCTATTACACTAAGATGTTCACTCCCACCTTCAACTGTGGGTCAGATCATCATCATCATCAGTAATCTGTCAGGACGACAGGTCCACAGTCTCTTCCAAAACAATTCCTCCACTTAATGCAATCTAGAGCTTTCTCCTTCAAATGACAGTATCCTCTTCTGTCCCCAAGGTCATCCAGCATCTTCTTACGTCTTCTTCCTCGTCTTCTTGTCACTTCTATCCGCCCATCTATCTTTCCTTCGATAGCTTCTTTTAGAAGGCAGTTTCTGCGTAAAACATGACCAATCCAATTAGCCTTCCGTTTTCTTATTTCATGTAGGATATTCCTCTGCTCACTGACTCTAATTAACACTTCTTCATTTCTCACATAATCGGTCCAACTGATCTTCTCCATCCTTCTCCAACACCACATTTCAAAACTTTCCAGATGTTTCTGATCTACTGCCCTAAGTGTCCATGTTTCAGCCCCATACAGAGCTATGCTCCAAATGTAGCATTTCACTAGTTTCTTCCTCAAATTTAAGTCCAATTTGCTGGTAAAAAGATGGGTCAGATATATATTCCAATATCTGTTATTCCAAATCGAAATTTTGGTGGGTAGCAAAATGCCTGATCATTTCTCATCCCAGTGATGGTTATATCACATTGTTAGTAACTATATTCATAGGTAGCAGATACACAGTGTGACAGTTAAGTTCCCAAACTGACACTATTACAATAATACTACTAATGCCATCTATTGGGGATGAATTGGGCTAGTTAGAATGAACGTTTACTTATACGATGTGGAAGATTCAACTGCTTTGGTTGATGCATATGAGGATTACAGTTGTTCTGGTGAAGTTAGTTTTTTTTTTGTTGTGTCACAGGTTTCAAAATGGAACAAAAAGCAGTGATTAAGTTTTCTGAAAAATGAAAGAAAACAACTTTGCAAACATTTGAAATGTTGAAAAGTGTGTATGATGGAGAATGTTTATCAAGAAAAAGTGTGTTTAAACATGTAAAAGGTTCAAAAAATGACAAGAACCGTTACAAGATGATGAATGGAAAGGCTGTCCTTCAACTTCTAGAACAGAAGGATAAATGGAAGTCATTCAAAAGTGTTTGGCTGAAGATAGGACTTTTGAGTGTTTGGATGTTAGATGAAATAACAGGGATCAGTAGAGAGACGGTGCATGAGATATTAGTCGAAGGTTTGAAAAATAAAAAAGTGTGTGCCATTTTGTTCCTCATTTGTTAACGCCAGATCAAAAACATCAACACACTGTGTCATCTGCTGGATTTCTTGAAATAATTGATGATGATAGATATATTTTAAAAAGGATTGTAACATGTGGTGAAAGTTGGTGTTTCATGTATGATCCAGAAACAAAACGTCAGAGTGCAACTTGGTTGAGTCCAAAGAAACCAAAAGCGCAGAAAGTGAGAATGCAAAAATCACAGGTGAAAAGAATGTTGACTGCATTTTTTGATGCTAAAGGTATCATTCATTATGAATTTATTCTGGAAAAACAGATTGTAAATGATAAATTTTATAAACAGGTAATTAAGAGATTGAGTGCTTGAGTTCATCATATTAGGCCTGAGTTTCAGGAAAGTGTGTCCTGGTATCTTCTGCATGACAGTGCATTCTTTGAACATTGTCTCAGAATTTTTGGTGAAAGAGGGATCCCCATGTTATCCCATCCAACTTACTCCCTTGATTTATTACCAGCTGACTTTTATTTCATGAATTAAAAATTGATATGAAAGGGATGAGATTCGAGGTGGTTTCATTGAACCAACAGACTGATGAGAGAACTGAAGGTGATATGATAAGAAGAGTTTTCTCAGGCATTCGGTCCATTATATTAGCGATGTAAATGTTGTGCAGAAGCAGGGAGGAATGTATTGAGTGATGGTATGAATACGTTTTATAATCTATTTTATGTGTTTTTTTATGGCCTCAGTTCTGGAACTTAATTATCACACTGTGTATATCAATATTTCCTCAGTCCTAATCATATATTTCACAGTCCCTTTCAGTTGTCATCTTAGTTCAATAAACAGTCAGTGTCGGTATATTTATAAACTGATGATATATGAGGTCATACTACTTCTACAACCAAGCTACGAGAGCTATGCCAATGATGTGAATCAACAGGGTGATAATTTAGATACAATAAAGAAAAACACACAAATTTTAATCGATGCAAGTAAGGATGTTGGTCTAGAAGTAAACACAGAGAAAACTAAGTATATGTTGCTGTCTCGTTACCAAAATTCAGGGCAAAAGCTTGACATAAAGATAGGAAACAGATGTTTTGAAAATGTGGCACAGTTCAGATATTTGGGAACAGTGATAACAAATCAAAACCTGATTCAGGAGAAGATTAAGACGTGATTGAACTTGGGTAAGGCTTGCTACCATTGAGTTCAGAACCTTTTGTCTGTCACCTCTCATCTGCTGTCTAAAAACTTAAAAATTAGAATATAAAAACTATAATCTTGCCTGTGGTTCTGTATGGGAATGAAACTTGGTCTCTGACATTAAGGGAGGAACACAGACTGAGGGTGTATGGAAACAGTGTGCTGAGGAGAATGTTTAGACCGAAGAGAAATGAAGTGACAGGAGGTTGGAGAAAACTGCATAATGAGGAGCTTCATAATTTGTACTCTTCTCTATAATTAGAGTGATCAAGTCAAGGAGAGTGAGGTGGGCAGAGCATGTAGCACGAATGGGTGAGATGAGGAATGCATATAGGATATTGGTGGGAAAGCCAGATGGAAAGATACCACTGGGAAGACCAAGGTGTAGGTGGGTGGACAGTATTAAAATGGATCTTAGAGAGATGGGATGGGATGGTGTGGATTTGATTGGTCTGGCTCAGGATAGGTACCAGTAGAGGGCTCTTGTGAACACAGTAATGAATCTTCAGGTTCCATAAAATGCTGGGAAATTCTTGAGTAGCTGCAGAATTGGCCGCTCCTCAAGAAGGGCTCAGTTCCATGAGTAAGTAAGTATATAATGCCAATTGTATGACCCTTCAGGGTACTGTGTTCATAATTCTGAACCTCCATTTTTGACAAGGGTACACAATGTATATGGGCAGATATTACAGTAGTGTCCATATGGCAAAACAGTTGCATGAACAAAGTACAGTAGTAGTCAGAATAATTAACCAAAACAGGTGCATACTAAGTCATCTCAAAGATCACGAGAAGACACTGAGGAAAGGTGAAATGTAAAACTTAATCAATTGGGCCCGATTAATTGAGTTAGCCCCTACTTCTGAAGTAGGTTTTACCTAAATACAGAGACAGAATCCAGTCAAAAAAACGTGTTTTTAAATATAAACAGGACGTTGAATAATGTCCAGAAACATAATATTATGACGAATATGACGATTTGCTAGGCAATGGCTCGCTAAAACGCGTTCTCATGTCAACAGATTCAACAAAGGGTAACAAGGATACAAGGAATCAACAAACAGGGTTTCCATGGGAATAGATTTTGTGGGATCACCAGTCGTTTCCACTGCAAATGATATGAGAGACCAAAAGACAAATTGCTTGGTGTGGTGGCCTCTCGTGGGTCCTCCCAAAGTTATAAAAGAGAGATCATTCGTGAATTCATTTATTCATTCATTCATGAGAAGTTGAGTGTTCAGCTGTGGAGTGCTAGCCCACGAACAACAGAAGCTGAAGTAGTTACTGAATCATAAATCAGAACCAAATCAGTCATGTAGAAGAGAAGACACTTGTAGTGCAGTAAGCAATGGAGCAAGTTTTGAACAGTCACCGATGGTGAGCTGTTATAATTGATTGTAATTGTAAAGAAGTTCCAATAGATTCAATCATCTAATCCAGAACATGTTATTATTAGTCACAAAAACCCTGAATACATGACAGTATTTGTACTAATGTACCAATGTCACAAACTTCTAGAACTTATTAACTTTATTGTTTCTCCAACCACAACATGATTTGATCAACTGATCATTCTTGAGTACTTTTATGATCAAATACATAGTTATATGGCTGCAAGTAAAATGAATCAATTTTCACAATTAAAATGTTTTTTATGAAGATCCACTTATTGAATATAAAAATGTAAAACTCTCCTGAAAGTTAGGGTGTCAAAACTCTGGTATTCCTGGATGTGTGTCACTGTAATGTATTCTTTTTTAATTTTTTGTGCTTGAGTAGGTTTGTATACTTTATTGTGTGTGTGCGTGTGTGTGTGCGTGCGCCCACATGTGCATATAATACATTATAGTGGTGTGAAGACCTTGTGTGTGATGGCTTTGGATAGTGGCTTGTCTGCAGTAACTGTCTTGTGGAGTAGTATCTGACTGGTATGTTAGATTTGTTGTTGTTAGGCTTATGGGAATGATGGCATGAGAATGCTTAGTGTAGAGTAAACTTTTTATCTTGTTGTAGTGTGTTTCGCTGTTACTGGTTGTATGCTATGAGTAGGCTGGATCATGTGACCGGACTGTTAGTTGTTGACTATTAATTTAATATTCAATTGTTGATTGTGCAGACAGATCTCCACAGCTTAACTTTCAGTGTAGTTGGGAAGGTTAGAACAGTAAGTAGTGACATTTTTCAGAATTATTCTCCAAGTGACTCTCTTCAGTAAGAACTGAGGAGTAGAGAACTTAAGAATAAGTTAACTCCCTTACTTAGTTCACAAGCTATGCATAAATTGCCATGCAGTTGTATAAAAGTGTAGTAACACAGGTGAAAGAGACTTCTGTGCAGAAAGTGGTAAATGTGAAATTTCTTGCATGGTTGCACAGTGCATATTGTGTATATATATATATATGAATTACACACATCACAGAAAACATCTTTCAGACCAGATGCATAGCATAACTGGCTCATGGAAATGATAAGGAAACAATTTAAAACGTTTGAAATCATAACAAATGAAAATAGGTACTGAAAGTAAATGTGTGTGAGTGTTATATTTTGACATTCTGAAGGTCTGTGTAAGCTGACATATGCTGTACCTCTTGGCTAATAGCACAAGGAAATAAGTATGTTATAAATCATGGGCTCTTGTTTTCTGTATGTTAGCAGTCAGAGGCAGTAGGAGTTACAAATATGAGCTGAAGATGGCAACAGTATGAGGCTGTGATAGATGTGTTGAGTCAGTATAGCAGTATTTTGCCAAAATGTGTCCATGGTGTACCTCTGGAATAGTAGTACTGATCAGTGCATTTTGTTATTCTGTCAAGTTTATTACTGTCTTATAAATGTAGGTTACTTTTGCGAACTTTTTGAGCTCATACCATGCGTATTCAGAGAAATCATGTTTGAAGTGTCCTTCAAGAGTTTTAATGCATAAACATGGATCACAGTGTGACCAAGTGTGGTGTTGATAATTCTATCAGTTTCCATAACTAAATTCTAATACATCTGTTGCAGCATGCCAGCTGTGGAATACACCAAGTCCTTCATAACTTCAGTGGTTGTTGGCAAAGATGTGGTACCACGCATTGGACTACATCAGCTGGAATCCCTAAGAGCTGACCTCATTAACACCATCAAAAGAAGCAAAGACCCCAAGGTGCATGTCATATCATGTATATCACCAAGCAAGTTGGCACAGTCATAATGCAAGTGAATTACATATGAGAGGTGTTTGGTTCGAAACCCAGCCATTGGATTGGCTGGATTGGATCACTGATGTTTGACTTGAAATTAAATGTTTGTATTAATTTGTTCAGAAAAAAATTCAATGCCAAAACGACCATATTTAGTTACATAATTTATGCACCCCTACATTTAGACAGGAATTTCGTAAAAGAGAAATAAACACCGTATATTTACTCTTGATAAAATTGAATTTCTTGAGAAATATAGTTTAAGTTGAATGCGTTATGGAAACATAGTACATGGAAGTCTTTTCTGCATTTTCTTTGGTAAATTATGCATTATGCATTGATTCTGATGATGGAGTGTAGCACTCAGGTAATTACTGAGTTTCTGGACTTGTCCAGTCTCTGTATTGCAGGGAACACAACGCTTCAAAAACGGGATCTGTTTTCATCCTGTGGTGAAAGGAGTGTGAGATACCTACTCTGTTGGGGTCATTAGTTAGAGCTAACTTCATTCACTGGACAACCTATGTCAGAATGACTACATTTTGTATACACAGAGTGTTTAGCGACTTTTTGGCCAAACTGCAGAAACATGTTCATTTGGAGTGAAAAAAATGCCTAGCAAACTATAGGGTCATTCAACACTGTTATTGAGTTAAGTGATAGCATAATTTAGCACTGAATAAAAACGTCTTTTCAACTCACCTATACTATCATCGTTTTGAACACTTACAACACTTAAGTGTAAATGTTATTATAGCTCATTTTAGAAATGCCCAGTATTAATCTCAATGGTTGCTGCCAATCATGCCACTAAGTGTTGCCACTGCATGCTTCCCAATTAGTTTCTCATACCAATGGTGGCTTCATCTTTGATCTCTAGTGACTAATGCCTTGCCTCTGGTTTACCACAATGGTACACCCTCCACTTCATGCAAGCCCACACAAAGAAATCTAGTGGATTTAAGTCAGGAGACCAAGTGGGTCAAGCCGCAGGTCCACCTGTTCCTATCCATCTTCCTTCAAAATTTTCATTCAAAAATTCCATTACCACTCTGCTGACGTGAAGGAGCACCATCATTTGGTAGCCACATTGAGCTTCATGCTGCAAGAGGTACATCCTCTAAATTCACCTGTAATTCATTTTCCAGAAATTTTCTCTAATACTGAAAAATTAAATGTTCATCAATTACATGAGAGCCCTTTACATTATTGCCTAGTACTCCACACCACACATTAACTGAAATTAGCGTTGAAAATTACTTTCTGCTAGCTTGTGTGGTCTTTTGTTTGCTCAAGGGTGCAATTTCCTTGTGCTAGTAATACCATTCTGGGTAAATTGAGCCTCATCTGAGGACAGATTGTCATGCAGAATGTGTAGTTGTGGTTGCAGCCATTCACAAAATTCTACATGGTGGTGTTATCTCCCAGTAAGCAGTAAGAGGTGTTGTACTTTCTGATGGTGATACAGATAGAAACCATTATGGTACAAAATAATCCAGACCTGTGTTTATCTTGGGAATTCTGCATATGCTTGTACTTGGGCTTCACTGCATTGCTGCCAGAACATCATCATCTCCACTTTGTAATTGCTCACATTTTGCATTTGCTCATGGAAGGAAACCAGTCTCCCTCAAAGTTCTGCATTCACTCTAAAATTCTTTTCAATGTGAAATTATCTGAAATAGATATCATTACCAGTTTCCACCATAGCAACCCTACCATTCCTATTGCAGAAACCATATACAAAATAAATGTCAGCATATTCTTTATATGTAAATAATTAGGCATTTTTACTATTACCGCACTACAACACAACATGGCCACACCATCCTAGACAGTGTACAAGCAGGAACTCAGTCAAGCTATAGCAGCTCCGCCTCGCTTCACTAGGACTTTGTATTATATTTCAGCATCCTGTTGCACTGAAGTATCACTTCTGTTTTTGGTCTGTAATGCAACAAACTTTTTATTTTAGATGACACCACGCTTTCATTCAATTCACTAAAATGTCAGTTAAAATGTTCCTAAAATGTCATTAAAATATATTCTATGTCAGGCTACACGTTTTGGCCTCACAAGGCCATCCTCAGGCAACATGCTTTGATGGAACCTACTGCATTGTTCTAACTTATGTCAGTAGTACTTGTTTATGTATGTTGGCATTATTCTCAACCATACACAGCAGTAGGTTCCAGCAAAATGTGTTGCCTGAAGATGGCCCTGTAAGGCCAAAACGTGTAGCCTGACATAGAATATATAATGACATTTTAACTGACATTTTAGTGAGCTGAATGTAAGTCTGGTGCTGCCTAAAATATAAAGTGTGCTGCATTATAGACAGAAGAGTAAACACGAATGAGGACTTAACTTGATAATGGTGTTGGATAGACCTATGGTGTACCAGACATTTTTTGCCCTAAATGACCTCCAGGACATGCTCATGAAGTTTGGCCTAGATGTCACAGAACACCTGTATATTCCTGAGATCATGTTTTGTTAACAGGAGATCATATGAAGATTTACAGTACAAATTGTGAAAATTTTTATTAAGACTTGAAACTAAGGCTGAAAGGACACTTGAAAATAAGTGCATGAAACAAAACCATCAATAAAATGCAGAAATACCGGTGCAGAAGAAAATAAAAGTTTTCATGTTATGCATGTACAGTACCCACCTACCATTGTGCCATCTGTGAAGTAAAATTGCTGGTTGAAAATGTGTTCTGTACCCACTCTCTCATTGGAACCTCCTAACAAAATGTTCATGTAGTATGTAGGGAAATTTCCGAACACATGTTCTAGTTCCATATGGAAACTGTTCTTCATATCGTCAGTATTATTGTCTGTTGGGGCAGAATGTTCAGAACGATCTAACACCAGCAAACTCTTCATATTATATACAACATTCTGTCACTAACAAATCCTATTCTCATAACTGCTGATATGCTTCTCTTATATACTGAAAAATCTTATCTTGAATTCATGATTCTCATTTCGATTTCCATAGAAAAATGTACACTCACCTGTTGGTTGAGTGTCACCCCTGTCCCATCTGACCTCTTTTACTCCTGCTAAATCAAACTTGCACTTCACTATTTCTCTTGCCCCTGTTCTCACTGAATCTATGCCATAGAGACTCCATAATTCTAAGTTCCAAATCTCATATCTGTTTTATATAAATGGCAGAATTGTGTAAAAATAAATTTGGAACAATATATTGTGGCATGGCAGCCGAAAGACCAGAATAGTGAAAACAGAAGTTATGGCTCTTCCTAGGGAACGGCCGATAAACTTGTCTCCTTGGCAGCAGATACACAAGCACAATAGAAGAACTTTTGGAAGAGGTGTTTTCTCTTTGGTTTGCCCTGAGGCATCTAGCCAATTGTGGCTTGGCAGTCAAGAATGTGAGGACAGTTGCAGCCATATAGAGTTGTGAAGGAGTCACCAGCCAGTGAGGACATGAGCTATTTAACACAAAAGATGAGGAAACTGCATGGTTGGGGGCACTTGTCAGGCAACCACTACTGAAGACAGACTGATAAGACTTAGTGCATGGTGTCGTAAATTACAGAGTGGATGCATTATCGAGACTGCTATAATCACTTGTATCTACGATTTGTAAGAGTCCAATAAATCCAATCCAAACTTCATGTTTAGTCACTAATGTGTAACAGTATCATGTATTTAAAACTGTTTATGATATGATGAAGAAATAGTGACACTTTCATATATGCTTGATGATACAGACATGCAAGTATTAAACTATATAAATGTAAGCATATTGATGAAGCATGTGCAGATTTTGTCAATCACATCACAGATACACTGTATGTCTTACTTGCAATGGCACATTTGATATGTTGTGGAAAAGAAGCTGACTGTGGAATAAGATTATGTTTCAGCATCCTGATGCATTGCTGTATCATTTTATACACTTACTTTCATCGTTAATGCAGCGATGTTTACAATTACTCCTTAACTTGAAATAATATTAAAATTAAGCTGCTACATATTTCAATGTTATTCCATTTTTGTCATTCATTTATTACAATACATTTGCTTGAGAGCATCAGTCTTTATCTTTACATGTGCCACCTTCTTGCAGCTTCCATATTTCTTGTGTTGTTTTGTGCAGCCCTATAAATATTGGTGTGGTGTTATTGTCATTGTTATTTTTATGTGCCCCATTAGTATGTATATTCCCACACAGTTGCTCTAGTTGAGTGATGACTGCATGTTCAGCCATGACGTCCAGACTGGAAAGAAATTTGCAACAGAGAGCACATTGCATCTACAGCACTCCCTGTGAATGTGGCAGAAGCTACGTTGGTGAAACAGGCAGACCACTAGCCATGCGTCTTGGCTAACAAAGGCACAACCTCAGATGTTTATTTTAGAAAAATAATAGCTGCCCAGCATGCATATGAAGAAGGTTATAGGGTAGGTTGGGATGAGGCCAGGAATTTGGAAGTTGAAAATAACAGCAGGTGTAGAAAATACAAGATTTGGTCCATGTGCCATGTTTAACAAATCCAATAAGCCAACCTCATTTGGAAATCTCGCCCCTATGGATTCCCCCTATTAGGAAGGAGATTGGCAGCTTATATGGAATGTCGATATAATAAGACATGCATATCTGATTTCAACTTCTGGATTCAGTTTTTGTTCAGTGAGTGACAGTAACTGTAGGTTGGTTTGCTTAGAATGAAACTTCACCTACTTCTATCTTGTTGTTTATGGATTTGGTTTGGTGCATTTATTTTCAGCTTCCTTTATATCTTACATCTTCATATGGCTTTCCAGAATGTTTATTATTGTCTCTGTTCACAAAACCTGATTGCAGATGTATGTACAGGGTTACTCTTAATTACATTTGATATAAGTACTATGTTCTGCACTTGCATGGTCATCTAAATATATGATCCTGATGGCTTCATTAACAAAATATGCCAACATGATTGAAAAGCATACAAATGACATAGTTGCAGATAAAGACTTTATAACAATGAACAGAACAGCATCTGGTCACTTAGTAACGGTTTACAAGAGGTGTTGAAATGGACCATCATTAAAGTCAATGCCAGGAATTCCTGGTCCACTGAAATACATCAGACATATTGCATATTGTTATACCAGCTGCTTCTGTGGCATTCCACATCTCATCTCATACGAGTATGTGACATTGCTGAGCATAAACAGTGCTCTTCAGATGACCAATGCAAGTGGAAGTTGGTAGGAGTGAGACTGGGTGATTGTGAAGTCCACAGAGCTGGTCCATTTCATCATTTCCATTGACCTGAGCAGTGGCTGTTTAAATACTGTGTGACATTGTGAGAATAGAACGAATTCCTTGTCATGAAGTACCCACATTGTCTGCCATGTTTGCAATGGTTTACTGCCTAGTAGTTCTGGTAAATGTTTAGATAGGAAATGTAAATAGTCATGGTAGCAGCTCATAAGGACCCAAGAGGAGGTCGCCAATAATTCCTGATCAAACATTTATTGCAAACTGCTGTTTAAGTTATTTATCTTGAAAGGAATGTGGATTTTCATCAGCCCCATCCCATTCCATGTGAAGCATCCATCAGAAACACATGCCTAAGACAAGCTGAAGACTCAGCACCCCATTGCAATAGCTGTTCACAGAACATTTTTCAGTGCCCAGTCTCGGATACAACTACTGATCATACAACACCCTCACCATCATTCACTGGGAAATATGGTAATGATGGGCCCACTACCAGGCACTTGTACCTGGGGATCATTGTAGATCACATAGAACATCTTCCATATGGACGTTTCTGCAACTTTGTGGATTACCAGCATTTGTCATACTGGGCTGCCTACAACCAGTTTCTAGCAGAATATTTTTCAGAGAAATAAATGTGCCTTAATTCTGAATGCCATCACTGCAGATAGCTTTTAGGGCACAGATGTGCAGTGGTTGCTCTGATGGACTTTGCTACTCTGTACAGTAATATCATATCTGTGAATTAATCAAATGAATACTTTGCATTCTGCACCACTCTAGGATATGTACAATGTATGCTGTAGTGAACACCACAACACCAAAATAAGAATGACATTGACCTTGTACAAGTCTGTGGAGTAAATGATTGCTTCATTCATTCTACAGTGCTCCCTCGTATTAGCACAAACAAAGTGGTTATGCCAGTATATTTATTTGAACGTTTCTGCTTGCCTATAAGCATAGTATGCTTATGCTTATATTTGAGGAACATAATTGAGACTCACTATAGTAGATGTGGACTTGGGTTTTCCAGTGATTGAAGTTAGTTCCTTCTAATGAACACAGCAGAGTAGTTGCCTCTCATTCCTTTAATCTGCGGGCAGAAACAGATCCAGTTTCCAAAACTTTATGTTCTTTGTAATGTTAAACAATGAAATGAGTCTTAAGAACTCAGCAGTAGGGATATCAAGGAATGTTTTCATCTGAATGTAAACAAGCATATTGTATGGTGGAGTCCATAGGTGCAAATGTCCATATCATGTTGCCACATCACATTCAGATTTAATTACATTTTATACAAAAATTATACTAAGTCAAAATTGTATCAAGGGACATCTTCCCCTCTGTGTTTGACCGTGAATCATAGTGTGGACACCATGTTTCCATGCCACATTCTGATGTAGTCATCTAAGTTGGAAATGAAAAACTGTACTGTGGACAGTATTTTTTATTGCTAGTGGGGTGGGACTAAGTCCCTTGTACTGTGGTCACTTCTGGCCTGTTGTACCAGCCCCAGATGATAGGTGATTGTGGAGCAATTGGTGGAATGAAGATTGGCAGGGGAAAACAGAAGTACTGGGAGAAAACCTGCCCCAGCGTCACTTTGTCCACCACAAATCCCACTTTACCAGACCTGGGATCGAACCCAGGCTGCTGCGGTGGGAAACCAGCGACTAACCGCTTGAGTTATGGTGTGGCCAAACTGTGGACAGTAACATATGCATAGTTTGTGCATCACAACCTTCAGACACTATTTTATCAAGTAAGAAAGTGCTTAAATTACACAAGTAAATTCAGTTCAGGAAAAAGGAAAGGAATCTTTTTAATGTAAATGAAAATGTAAGGTAAAGCTGTCCCTGTAACATGCTGTGGAGGCCCATAGGTTTGTGGGATGTTGAGGGATCCACGTTGTCTAGACAGTCGGCTTGCAGATGATGGTAAGGTTGTCAGCCTTATGCACTGGCCACCCTTTGCCCCCCAGGAAGATTCCTGGTACTCATTTCTGTTAGAGGCTGAGTTAACCCCAGGGGCATAATGTGGCAAGAAGGAATAGGTCAATTGAAAAATCCATCACATCAGGACTCAAACCTGCAACCTTCTGGCTTGTAGCACAGTGTCTCAACCAACTAGGCTACCGCATGCCACCAATAAAATGTACATATGATCATTTGGTATACTACGGCCTGCCCGCTGACCATGGCATGTGTTTCAGGTCACTGTATTGTGAGGTCTTGTTTAGGATCTTCTTTACTATTAATGTGGAAGGTGAAGGTTATGTTTTTACTGCCATTAAAATCATTCCATGGAGCTATATAAGGGCACAAAAGAATGTTCCATATATTCCAGGTTTTGGCAGTATATAGATTGGCAATCAGCCTCACACTTCAGTCATTCTTGCAGCAAAGAGCCCCTGGTTTTCATTTGATGAGGGGTTCAGTGGGGCCTAATTCCTTCTGGATGTAGTGGCAGAGAGAAATGAGTATTTCTCCCATTAAGCAAATGATACATTTGTAACTAATTTTTTTCACAAAGAAATCCTCTTCACATCAACTCCAACTCAGTATGGGAGGGGGGGATTCAAATCAGAAAACCTCACTCTAAACACAGCCTAGCTTTGCTTCCTGTTCTATCATGACAGGCCTCCTAAGGGTAAATTCATAACTAAGACTTTGAAATGTGCCAATTAGCTCTGCCATGTCTGTCTGCATATAACAAGTTGAGAACTGCCAAACTGATTTTCATCAAATTTGATACTATGGAATTTTGATAAAATGTGAACACATTCCAGTTTTGGTTAAATTGTAACAGAAATATTGGATACTTCATATGAAAACCCAAAAGTCTGAATGTGTATTACAGCAAACACTTTTCAAACTGGTATTACAGAGAAAAGTGAAATACACATTTTAAACCTAATATAGTTTTTTCATAAATGTTGTGGTTATGGAGATAATTTAAAGGTGTGATTTTTATGCTGTGTCATAACTGAAGAACATTTGGATTTATTTTGATCGTATTTTATATTGTAGGTCCTTGCTCATCCTTCCTGCTTGTTTTACATTCTCTGTAAGACAGCATAAGAAATTAGCATTCACAAGCTTAAAATCTGTAGTGATAATAATAAAGTGAATGTACCACAACTGTCGGGCTGTGTATAAATTAATTGCATGTGTGTGTTGCAGTGGAAGACTATAGTTTGCAGTGTTGTATGTTGTGGCTGTGCGTCACTGCCAACTTCAGCTGCTGAGTTGAAATCTGAGGACAGTCAGATGGCAGAGTACCTGAAGGCAAAAGAAGTTGCCCGTGAAGTGGCTGTCCACCCCTCAGACTCCAGTATTGCACTGACGCTGCATCAGCCCCTGTATCCACCTGGACGCATCATACACATTGTGCGACACCATCCCACAAAGGGAGAGTAAGTATCTGTTAAACTGTCTGCAGACTCTCAGTTTCCCAAAACAAACAAAATTTAAAAATGCATGCTTAACACACACATTCCAGAGACTTTGAATGGAAGGTCAGTTCTCCAAAACAAAAGTGAAGAAATACTATTTTACTGAGGAAACAAATGACTATCAAATTTTGTAAAGAAATTTTGCTTACTACAGTCTGTTGAAGTTTTATGGTTATTGTAATTAATCATCATTGTCATCTTAATTTTTGTCTTAATTATTTTCTTTGTTGTATCACTACTACTACTAATTTTGGAAAAAGTTTAAATAAAAGGATGTTCCAAAAATATGTGACTTACTGTAAATATGGATGTCTTCAAAGCCATCATAGAAGTGTAACCAATCAAATGCTGCAAAATGTAGGAGTAGGTACCAAGTTTCTTACAAGTGCAGCAGTTCTCCCTCCCTCCACATCTGCCCATTAAACAACATTCATTACCAGTGTTCATCCCTCATGGTTCCGCTATGTATACATACTAAATGCAAAGCTGAATTTAAATTTGTTGTTTAATCGAAATACAGTGTTGAATGTACATATACATCCATAAATGTAGGTGTTAGTTTGTTATTCTTCTAAACTAGATAAAAATTAACAATTGTAGCCATGTTAAGAATTGGTGTTATTGTTCAAAACTGGAAAATGTTACAAAGACTTTGGTACATTAATTTTCTCCTTTTGGGTTGCACATCTGTAACAACAGTTTAGAGAAGGAAGCAAAACCTGAATCACACACCAAATGCTTAGTATTGCACAATGACCTTTCTTACAACAGAGCATTGATTTCTTTCTTGTAGGCAGAAATACGAGAAAAGATGGAGGTATGTAGGCAGTATAAGTGTGTGAAATTGGTGTTGTCATGTTGGTATCTCTGCATAAATCTGATTCCTAAGTAGGCTGCTTGATCTCCTCTTGACATCTGTGGCTGCAGTGTAATGGGTCCATGACTGGACATGCTGAAGTTGGTGGATTGGCTTGGGTGCTCAATGACAAGTATTACCCAGTTGATGAGCTCTCTCTAAATGAATCAGCAGTTGTCCCAGCTATCACTGGTGAAAGCATCAGTTCTCATGTTGTGTTACAGGGCAAGGAGTTACTGCACAATGGGCTGTGCTATGTTAGTGATAGTCAGCTTTGTTGTAATGTTGCAAATGGAACAGAGCAAAGTAAGTTCCTGGTCTTACACAGACTAACCATAGAAATGGTTTTCAAGGGGCATCATTATTTCAGGTGGAAAGCAGCCATTTCAGTATGTTAGAAAATATAAACAGCAGGCATCAGAAGCTTGCCATATGGATTGTATCAGTGCAGCATATTGTTAGTGAAGTACAATAGGCAGTATGAAGTTTTGGTCACCAGGTAAATCTCAATAAACAAGAAAACTATGACTGTCCTGAATGACTGTGATGAAAATGTATTGCTGTGTAATGTACTGCGGATATGATAGGGAGAATTTCCTGCAGCAAAAATAAATTGGTTGCAGAAATTAAGGAAGATACAGAAATCAGTGATAGCATGTCCATGTGTCCATATTAAGGATTCTGATTGGTTTCACGATGATGAAAATGACCAATTGTAAATACCAAAAAAGAAATATCGTTACCAATGTCATATAGGTTTTAAGTTTTGTCCTATTTTATGGTGTATTTGAGGACTTACTCTGTAACAGCTGGCAAGACATCAGGATGAAATGTTAAGGGCCCTAACAGGAACGGACATTTAAACGCAGAGTAGCAGCGAGCATTTAAATAAACTCCGGACAGCTCACTCTTACCACCATTTCAGAAGTCCGTCGTTTAAAGGTTAAATAGCTGTGTAATATCAAGGGTGGCCGGTGGCCTAGAGGTAAAGTGTATGTTTTAGAAGTTACGTGGTTGGAACACATGACTATTTTTGTGAAAAAAGAATGTAAGAAATTTGTGCACGTAGGAAGCAAGTGGTACTATATGAGGAAGGTGAGGGTAACTAATTTGTATAAATCTGGTGGTACGTGGGTAAGACATTGGCTTAGAATTTGGAAGGTACGGGGTTCTAGACCACGGTGTGTTTTGTCAGTAGAAATTGGAAAGTGAAAAGGTAAATGTGATTTTTCTGCAGCTATAAACGAAGACGTATAATATAAGGACGATCGCAGACATGTACGTCATACATGTTCTGGTGGTCTTGAGGTAAGGCACCGGCGTTGTAAATATAAGATTCGTGGTTCGAAAACAGAAGTATTTTTGTAATGAAATTTTTATGGAATTATATAGCGAAATGTAACATAAGAGGAAGATTAAAGCTCAAAAATTTCCGTGGCATCGGTGGCTTATTGGTAAAACACCGGCGTAGTGAACAAGAGGTGGAAGGTTCGAAACCAAGTATAGTTTTGTGATTTAGAAAGTAAGTTAATTGATTTTTCTGGAATTATAGTCGAAGATGTAGCTTAAGAGGAAGATAAAAGAAAATAAATTTCAGTGGTGCTGGTGGCTTGGGGGTAAGACATCAGCTTAGTGTTCAGAAGGTCCCTGGTTCAAAACCAGTAGGATTTTTGTGAAAAATAAAATGGAAAGANAATTCTATGAGCGAGATTTAGCAAGAAAATGTAATATAACAGCAGCGCATTCTGTTGACTAGAACCTCATGGAAAGCCACGAAGTGAAGTAAATAACGTAACATCATAGTTTCTTACGACCTGACTTACTGTGCTGTGCCAAGCCGCTCCTCCAAAAATTCATTTTATAGGGCTAGGGCGCCAGTCACCGAGGATGAGATCGTGGAAGACTGGCAAACCACCCATGCCCACCCTCATGGTCATGCAGCAATTTAAATACTTGAAACAAACTACATCCGCGAGAGTTAACACAAAATTAAATAACACTATAGCGCCATCTGTGGATCGAAACCTGAACATTCTGAATATTACTCCACAGATGGCGCTACAGTGTTATTTAATTTTGTCTTAACTCTCGCGGATGTAGTTTGTTTCAAGTATTTAAATTGCTGCATGACCATAAGGGTGGGCATGGGTGGGTTGCCAGACTTCCACGATCTCATCCTCGGTGACTGGCGCCCTAGCCCTATAAA